GTGTGCTAAAATTTCTTCATTTTCCTTGTTTAGAATCAGAGGTGCTAGTTTCAAATACTTTTTAGTCTGAAATCTGTATGCTAGATATTGAATAAGGTGGTTTTATTGTTTTTTGTCACTTTGAATAATATTTCTGTTCATGTTAAAAACAAAATCAACTCTCTGTATAAATATATCAGGTGACCGTTAAGGCCCATGGGCCTCTTGTCTGAATAAGGTTAGAAATATTTACTTATGTATAAAACATCATATTGGATTTTTTCCAACTTGACCAATCAGAAATCTATCAGTATCCTTTACCAGTCAAGATTCCGAGGCAGCTTACAACAAAAACATGTTAAAAGATATTTTCAACCATTTTAATCATCTTTTTATACACATTATATTCTTTCTATGTACAAATTAAATATATATATTGCGAATTTGAATGCATATAAGACAACAACCAAATATACCCATTCAAGCTTGCTTTATCTGATAATGGACAGGACTAAAGAGGGAATATCAATGAATGAAACACATTAAAAATGTTTATACTACAAATAAACTGAACACTTCCATTCAACAGAGTATTAAAGGCTATTGCTGGCTTTTTTCTTTGAGGATAGAGAGGTTATACCAAGTGATAACATTTTAGCCCCTGTCTGTCAAAGCGCAGTTCACTTATGCAGAAATGAAATATGTATGCTTCAATTAAGACAAGAAAATGAAAAAGATATAAAACCAGAAATGAAGATCAGCTAGTGATAATCCCCCAATCGCGACAATACATCTTACAAAAGTATCATTACATCCGTACACTTTCACCCCTGTATAGTAACATCATTGACAACCACTTACGCCACACAGGTTTCAAAGAATGAAAATAGGTAAAAATTCTAGAAAAAACCTGTTTGGTTGAGGTGTTAGATTGTTGTATAGATGAAGATAGCACATTTTATGTATGGAATAAAAAGACATACCACTTGTGTGTTCATCGGACATCTTAGATAGCGCTAATGAAATATTACTCGGCACCTAACCTTGTGCTATCCGATATGTCTGATGAATACATAAGGGTGGTATTGCCTATCTTTGTAATAATATTAAATATTTATATTTTTTCATTGTCTCATACATGGAACATTATCAATATTTTTATTCTGAACATTAAAATATAATTTATCAGTAAGGAATGTTGGTTGTAATGAAAAATCAAAATAGATTGATTTTTTTTCAAACCGGAACTTGACATAGGGTGTAAGTATATACTCTTCTCTACTACATGATTGTGACTGCTTTTGTTCTGAATCAATCACTTTGTATAAGGTTGCTAAACAAGAAACTCCAGAGTCTATCTGAATCACAGCCTATTTGCACCATTCATACCATTACTTTCTGATCAAAGTTATGAATCATATTAATAAGTCCTTGCATCACGAAAAAAACTTCCAGTACACAAGTCCACCTAGTAGTGCCAGTTCTAAAAGTATTATCACAATTAAAATCATCTTATTTGTCATCACCCTGAAGAAAGAAAAAAAGAGAAAAAAATGATAAGGTCAAACATAGACAATATTACAATTAACAGTTTAAAGTGAAAAACTTTACAAACTTCTTTTTAAAGAATACTTTTCATTGTTATTCCTTATAAATGAATTCAAAAAGACAGACAACAATTTTTAGTTCATCATTAATGAATCAATTTCTGATAAAAACCAAAGAGTTTAACACAAAACACAACATAATAGCTGTAACTTCATTGCAATGTAACTTCAACTGATCAGAAGTTAGAATTACAAATACTGTCCCAAACGTTGTAGTATACAACATGATCACTTTTTTGAATCATGCCTTTATACCAGTATATGGTATAACATGAAAAAATCTATCATTGGGGGAATAGCCAAAATGAAATTACAATTCAGTGGTCATCTATGTGACAATAGATAATGACCATCTCCATGCAGTTATCCTGAACCCAAAATGGCTGCTGACATACACACGGGCAAACAGCAGAGAAATATACACGAGTAGTAATTTATATATCTTACCTTGTTGCCATAGATTTGAGAATTTTTCTACTTTTGGAGAGATTTCCATCAGTTTCATCCAACTGAAAAAGTGAAAATGCTTCACAATGAAATGATTATATCTTGAAACTAAGAATTAATTTGATGATGGTGTATAATTATTCCAAATTCAAATGCTGTATAGATCAGATGAAATTCTTGACAAAAGGCAATTGTATCTATTCAAATTGGTTGTACATGTACTAGACAGGTGTCAGAAAACACAAGTTGATTTTTATTACCTATAAGATTACAGCTATATATAAGATTGGACACAATGTCAGAATACTAGGGGATCAGATAAGACAGGTTTCACTGGTATATCTTTTTACAATTGCCTAACATGAATTAATCATATATCAAACTTCCAACAGGGCTGATTTGTTTCAAGACAGAAAGACAAATATAGCTAGCCATATCTAAAATCTTTCCTCTTAATATCCAAATATTGTTATTAATTGAAATTACCAGTAAAGTAGTGAAATGTTACCTACCATGCCTTTAGTGCGTACAAGAGACTCTCTCTGTCTGCCCAGCTCGTCTATAGTGTCCACACCGATCATGTCTGTCTCGGCTGCCACCTGCTGTGTCCTGGCCAGACTCTCAGAGGCCCTGTTGAGGGACTGGGTCCCATGCATCAGCTTAGAGCGCTGTGAGGCTACAATCCGCTATATATAGAAAAACGAATGGAACTTAACACTAGGGACCTGATATCATTAAATTGATCACATTAACTTTACATATGTGCATAAAATTAGCAGTAACCCTAATGACAAACATTGTCATGTTATGTAGGCTAGCCCTACAGTCTCAGGATATGATAAATATTGTTGGTCTATGTGGCCCTATCATCTCAGAATATGATAAATATTGTTCTGTTATGTGGTCCTACAGTCTCAGGATATGATAAATATTGTTCTGTTATGTGGTCCTCTAGTCTCAGGATATGATAAATATTGTTCTTTTATGTGGTCCTATAGTCTCAGGATATGATAAACATTGTTATGTTATGTGGCCCTACATTCTCAGGATATGATAAATATTGTTATGTTATGTAGCCCTATAGTCTCAGGATATGATAAATATTGTTATGTTATATGGCCCTACAGTCTCAGGATATGATAAATATTGTTATGTTATGTGGCCCTACAGTCTCAGGATATGATAAATATTGTTCTGTTTTGTGGCCCTATAATCTCAGAATATGATAAATACTGTTCTGTTATGTGGCCCTACAGTCTCAGGATATGATAAACATTGTTATGTTATGTGGCCCTACAGTCTCAGGATATGATAAATATTGTTATGTTATGTAGCCCTATAGTCTCAGGATATGATAAATATTGTTATGTTATATGGCCCTACAGTCTCAGGATATGATAAATATTGTTATGTTATGTGGCCCTACAGTCTCAGGATATGATAAATATTGTTCTGTTATGTGGTCCTATAGTCTCAGGATATGATAAATATTGTTCTGTTGTAAGGTCCTATAGTCTTTGTATATGATAAATATTGTTGAATAATGTGGCCCTATAGTCTTAGAATAAGATAAATATTTTGAAGCTTTAGTCTAATAATATGATAAATATTGTTGAGCAATGTGGCCCTTTAGTCTAAGAATATGATGAATATTTTTGAGGTATGATGAAACACAGACATTCTAGATGACTTGTACTTATTTTATTTTGTTAAATCTGGCTCTGCATTTCTTTTCTCCTATTACAAAATTGGTGTCTGTGACCGACCCTTGTTTCAAATTTTGTAGTATCTGAGTAATGCACCTGATTTTGCTTCACATGTTATTATTTTACTTACATCATCTCTGTCAAATCCATAGTTATCTGAACCACCTACAGGTTTTCCACTCTCCTTTTTCTAGAAAACAGAAAGAAAAATATATTTATTGACCAAATTCTCTGTAACATCTAAGACGACTGAAGAAGATCTGATTTATGTTTATGTACAGTATTCTTAGTAACATTAAGAAGTCTTAAAAAGTTGAACACATGCATTCTCATTATAATGTACTTTGACATCTGTAATAGATAGTTGTAACAGTTTTCATGAGTCCAATAAAAAAATCTCTAATTATGCTTGTTGATATGTGTGTCCTTGAGCATGCTAAAACAAATCTCAAAGTGTTGGCATTTGTAGTAAGTTTGACGAAGACAAAAATCACACTTTTTGAATTTTCAAAGTTTTGTCTTCCGCAACAACATCAATTTTATACATATATACATGCTTGGAATTAAAACTAAAGGATTATCTACTAGACTGACCAATAACTTCGAAGCTTGCTCCAAGTCCCGTCGATAATTTCGGAGCTTCCCAAGCATTTGTGTTCTATAGGGTACTGGTGCCACCTTGGCTTCCTCTTCCATTTCTTGCAACTGCAAGCACAATTAAGGTTACAAATAGATAACAGAAGAAATTCATAAAGCAATGTCAATTTCACTACCTCATTCCCTTATATATATATGCAAAAATGATTTTTTTTTATCACACAATATACTGTGTTATCCAGTGAATATACCCATGTCATATTTTTTTCCACATCAACCCATGTAATATGACCTATCAGCCCTGTGATTGGTTGTAATTTTCAATTGCTTCAATTGTGACGTCACACTAGGACAAGTACATGACGTCACAGACTTATGCTGTGGAGTCAAAGTGGCAGCTTTTTACATTTCAAGGTTGCATGAAAATTGTCGTTTTACAGGAAGAAATGCCACAAATCTTGACTAGGTGATAAAAAGGATCTGACACTCGTTTTCATTTCATATGAGATTTATGAAACTAGTCACAAATGTTTCATTTTAGCTCGCAAGAGGCTCGTTAAAATGAAAAATTCTTAGACTCGTTTCATAAATCTCATATGAAATACAAACTCATGTAAGGTCCTATACATATATATGTAACTCATGTTTGAAAAGCAGACACATCTCAAAAAAAACAATTTCAATCAGAAAGACTTTCCCATAGAATCTTATACCTGAAACTTGTGAAAAGCTATTTATTGAATTTAATTCATGATAAAAAAACCTTTATCAAATTCTTTGTTTTTATGCTAGAGTTACCACAGTTGACTAAACTGAAGTAAGATCAGTGAGTAACATACAACAAATTCTGCCTCCTCCAAATTTCGTCCTGCATGGCGAATTGCTGTTTTCTTTTCCTCTGCATAGAATAAAACAAAGGTTTTTAATATACATATCAACCAAACAATCTTTCTACAAAACCAACATGAATGGAGGAGAATGATATAAAGATTCCCTGTAACAGAGTCCCAGCTAACTACTTAGTTCAACTAAATGTCAGTTTAGCTTACGGTACAAGGTGAGAAATTGATCATGTGTACAGATGGTCTGTGCACCATAAACCCCAAGGTTAATGTAGTTTCTAACTTGAACTACACATCAGTGAGGGAAGTCCGGGGAAGTTTGAAGGTCATTGCTAAGTAGAACTACACATCAGTGAGGGAAGTCCGGGGAAGTTTGAAGGTCATTGCTAAGTAGAACTACTAGAGTCTGAATTTTTTTTTCATTTGATTGGTGATGAACTCTATGACCTCAAATTTTGATGTTACATTAATGAAAATATGTGCAGTCAAGATGCTCTACTATTGTCCAAACAAGCACACTGTGTCACTGTTACCTAATGACCTTTTATATTTTGATCCCAAAATAACTGAGTTTCCTGTAAGATCATTTAAACTTAAGATTGATCTGGAATAGTTTGTAGAATTTAAATCATCCCAACATTAATATATCAAGTGTTCTATATGAGCCATACATTTTAAGCTGATGATGCAATATTAAAAGCTGTCAGTTAAAATACAAATAGTGTAGCATCAATTGTTAGAATTTAGAATGAATAGAACAGTTCCTACCACTTTTTTTCATATTATATTTTGCTCCACTGTCATTGGTCATAATTTGTATGTTCTGAATTTATTTATGACATACTTATTGCATGCCCATGACACTGGAGTGCGCCAAGGCCTTCGACAAGGTCCCACATCAACGTTGTTTCCTCCACAAGCCCCACCCGTAACTATGGGATCCAAGGGAACATACATCAATGGATTAGGAACTTTTTATACAGCAGGAAACAACAAGTTATCATTGAAGGGAGCTGTTCCTGCTGTATATAAACGACCTGTCGGAGGTAGAGAAATCCAACATCCGGTTATTTGCAGATGACTGCATCATCTGCCGACAAATAGATTTTCCATGCAGAGACAGTGTCAGGGTACAGGACATTCTCAACGCCCTCCACAAGTGGACATGCAATTGGCAGATGGCTTTTAACCTGAACAAGTTTGTCATCATACATGTAACTCGTAGGAGGAACATCTTGAAAACTAATTACAATAACTTGGTGTCATTCACCATCAGGAACGACCTCTAGATCTCCTGGCATGATCATAAGTGCTACATCGTCAAAGACAGGTAGGTTGGTAGGCTTCCTTCCTCCAAAGGAACCTCTGAGCCTGCCCAGAGGAAGTTAGGGCAAGAGCGACGTATACCACTCTAGTCCATCCCTTTATGGAACATGCTAAAGCAGTATGGGACCCTATCTAGCCCAACATATCGAGATGATGGAGAGAGTCCTAAAGCAGGTTGCAAGTTTACTACCCAGAACTACTTCAGAGATGAAGGTAGCATGATGGCCTTACTGCCTCATCTGAGATGGGAACCCCTAATAGTAAGAAGGGCAAGGGCCAGGGCACGTTGTTATACAAGATCAACCGAATTGTGGAAGTGGAGCTCAGCCATAAGATAAGGCAGGCAGATGCAAGGACCCGTGGAGCCACCAGCAGCAGCTTCAAGCTTGGAGCAAATCCCGGTCATGACTGGCATCTACCAGAACTCCTTTATTCCACGAACCATCATAACACGGAAGCACATTACCAGTAACAAGATTGCCTATTCAGTGGAATCCTTCTAGTCCTCATGACGACCAGAGGACCCTTCAGGAAGACAGTACCACTGAACCTGCATTGCACGATTCCTCATTTGTTTATGCATAACATCTCATAGCTCTGTATTAACATGGTGTCAGCCACTTTAAATGTCTCATCCAGATAATTATTTTACGAAAAGTGATGGAGTATTTTATATGTCAATAAATGTGGTGAAAAAATCAGGAAATAGAGAAGGTTGCTTTCACTGGGGATAAAACCTGCAACCCAACCCTGTAGGGTATTAGCAGGACTCTATGTAATTATAAAAGTGAACTGTTACACTTTAAAATGTATGTCTAAAACGTTGCTACTAAAGATATCGCTATTTCAAGTACATTGTACTTACTACACAACTCTGTGTTTTATACCACAGGGACCTGAGAATTTGTTACAGCTAATTATTTGGACCAAAACTTCAGGTAAAATATAGGCATATTACAATACATGAATATCACAGAGTAGAGTACAGTACAACATTAAATTTTGCGACAGTACTTGTACCATAAAATAACAACATTGAGCACTAGTTAATATATGAGATCAGTTGATTAGAATTTTTACCGAAATTGCAGCCTTTTACCTAGGATAACTCAAAAACATAAAAGCTTATTTCCATTGGGGTCCTTTAAAAGAAACTGAAGTACAATGTTAAAATTGAATATTGGTGTTATAATTTTGTGGACATCATTCATAAAATAAACTTCTATTCCATTAGAACATGATGGTTAGTTTAAAAGTACACATAATACTTTTCTTCTATTTGAATGTGAAACATACAGTAAAATAATTAATAATCTAAAACATAGAATCATATTAAAAGTACACATATTCACTTTCTTGTTTTCCTTTCATAAGCTTAATTCTTTCTGTGAACGACTCTTCACCTTGTATTTAAAAGTAAATTTATTATTTTCATTTTTGATGTTTTCAGGAAGTGAATTCCAATCTTTGGTACCAGAAAAATAAAAAGTTGTAGATTCAGAACCTTTTACATAAGGAACAATAAAATTACATAGATTTGAGCAAGAACGATACGGACAAGGATTCCTGTTAAAAAATTGGTACATATATTGAGGAGCTAAGTTTTCATGGAAAATATTGAACATAGGGTTCAGTCTAAGTTGCTTTGCCCTGGTATTGATATCCAGCATGTTTACACAACTAAAATCTTGGTATGACAAACTGTGTCTATTATGTACATTTAATATAAATCTTATCACCTTGTTTTGTGCCACTTGTAGATTCTTTTTAAGTTTAGAGTAAGTTTACACATTTGTGGGGTTTAGATCAATAGTCGGTAAAAATGCCACCCCAATGATGATTATATACGTGTAAAATTACTCTGAACATCTTAGTTTAGGTCCAAATATAACTGTAACAAATTATCAGGTCCCTGTGTATTATACGTCCTGCTATCCCAGTAGACAGGACAGGCCCCTGTGGGTGTGACAACTATACAGGGAAAAACAGTGAGTTTATGGATAAGAAACATTTAATGATCATCATACTACAAGGAATTATCATACCTCCTCGATATACTGGGATCTTCTTCTCAATTCTCTCCCTTAAACCGTCGATGATCGAAGTCAAGTCATCTTCTAATGACTCGAATTTCTCCGACGACATGTTTACAAATGTATCACATGAACATTCAGGGGAAGCAACTGCAAGATGGGAACTGTCAGACAGGTGTTAATGGGTCTCACAAACGCTTCACTCGGGTGACTATTGTCGCAAAGCTTATTAAGCACGCAGATTGCTTTATTCGGTAGAATAAAACATACGGAAGAAACGTCCATTGAGCCTGGTTTCTTCAGATAACGAAACCAGAATGTAATTCTCAATATATTCTGCCCAAAGATGACTCATGTCTTTTGCGGATTTGAATTGCTTATGTTCAAGAGATTCCACACTTGTCCAGAACAATGGATTGAGTTGAAAAGGACACTTTTCCAGAAGGGTGATGGAGCTGACACGGAACACCTGGGGGTAAGTATATTGGCAACATATATCAACGTGTTCAGGGTATGTTCAGCGACGGTATCGTGTTGAGTTATAGTCATACGTTATGTCATAACATTTGACATACTTAAATATTTATAAATGCGACTCGTAACGTCGCCAACCATCATCATCATCATTAATCTGATGATCAACAGTTCATCATCATCATCCTCATCATCATCATCATTAATTGGAAAAGAGTCTTCTATAGAAAAAAAATTAAAACTACAATCTCAGTTTCTTATAATGAACAATTATTACAAGTCATCGCTATAGAAAAAACAATATCATTTATATTATTATCATGACCATAATTCATAGAGTGATTTTCTTTTACTGTGAAAATAGTAATGTTGGAATCATTGATATTTGGGATTTCCATAGTTTAATAATAGTTAGGACAACTCACTTTTCAAATTAAAATCTCTTATAATACTCTACGTGCATATTGTGTGTGTACCTGTCTAGTACTAGCTGCGATAACGTAGCTTTCTGACGACGAGAGATTTTTTTATATATTGCGTCGTCAGAAATACCCGGCTGGGGCAGAGGAGGCCGGGTATTAATATTAAAATTATAATATTCAATGTTTATCTACTGTGTTGAACAAATTTTGTGTCACTTAAAAACAAATGTAAAATTGAAGATTTCTGTTGTTACTCAAACATGTCCACTCATTTATATCATACATATCTTTTAGAGCATGTCTAATCTAATACCCTTTGCGACACAACATGTCTTTTTGGTGAGACAGAATGTTAGTCTTGCACAAGAATTGAGATGGCAATAGATAATTATATTTCACAGGACGTCAGTTGTCAGATACTAGTAATAGGAAAGTTTCGATTTTTTGTACAGTTTACAGATGTTTTAAAATGTATTTAACATCTCGACTTGTACAGCCCACTGACATAACTATACACAATGAATAATATTAGCAGTCAGAGCAGTCCGATCACTGCATATTGAAAGCAACTTATAAAAAGAGAAATTAATATTAGTACTCTGTACTTGTTTTCAAATCCTTGTTCATTTGCATAATTGTATCATGTACATACTGTATTACTGCAATATATTGACCAAAAATAAAGTGAAAAATTAATATGTGTTTTGACCAGTATATACACATGTAACTGTGATCTATTATATACATATTTATATAGTTATGTACCGGTACGTATATAGTGGAACTTGACTGGGTTGATTGCTGGCAACCTGCAGGTAGCTGAACTGATTATATAGAGTGTCTGCATGTCTAGAATTCAGGAGGTCCTGGGTTTTAATCCCAGTCTGGTTGTGCATTTGCCCTTTCCTGTTACATTTGGCGCCCAATGTGGGGCCTGTGACCAACCCATTTTTCAAATGCTGTGTGAATGTTTGGTAGAGGGATACCCGAGCCTAGGTTGTAGATAGTGCTATTTGCATGGGCACAGACTTTTTGAAGGAGGGAGGAATGTAGCAGAACTGGACTTAGTTGATCACCGGCGAGCAGGTGTAGAGTTGGGAGGTCCCAGGTTTGACCTCCAGTCTGGCAGTGCATTTCTCCTCTTCTGTTGCATTTTGCACCCAACTAAACATACGCATGGAAGAAGGTGTAGGGTCTTGTGTGTCTTCAAGGTTTAAGACTTTGTTTAAGGAGGGAAGAGTGTAGCTGAACTGGACTGGGTTGATTGCCAACAGCCAGGTAGCTCAATTGGTTAGAGTGTCTGTTTACAGTTAGGGCAATGTCCCTGGTTCAAATCCCAGTCTTACTGTGCATTTTCCCTCTCATGGTACATGTATACATGCAGATAATATGTACTGATGTTCATCTTTAGTATACAAGTTACAAATTAGAAGATACATATTTCCAGTTAATGGCTTTGTCAGGCATATGTGCACAGACATAATCCATCATTTATTTTTGCATCTGCATTTATTCATCCGTCATTCTCTCATGCTGTATTACTGTGTAACTGTATTCAGTGTAGCATATACACATACCAGAACATGCATGTATACTAAAACAAACATAAAACATTAATTACCATGACTGATGTAATCAGATACTGTCCTCTTTTTGACCTTGTGGATGATGCAGCAGTTCAAGTGCTGGTGCGTGAAGATTGACATACATGTGTTACTGTTTCTAACTGTACTTGAACTGAACCGCACAGGATACAACAAGTGTCATCGCTGAGAAGGGCTTACATAGAAAAATACATAATAAGTCAATGCAATAAACAGTATTAGGTACTTAATTATTATCTCATTTATGATAATGTATCAAATAACTGACTACATTATTAGAGTGATAGAGTCAATCAAAGAAAGTATTCGTGATATAATTAATAATTTTGTTTTCAAATGTGAGATACAGGTATTACTATTTATTATCATGAGTTTTTCATGGTAATGTCATAAAAATAGCAATTTAACCTGATTACATTAACAAAATGAATGTGACTCAAGAATTATGTTCAATATTTTGAAACTATTGAAAAATAGATAGTTTTATATGCTGTTTATCAACTGCTATGGTAAGACACTATTAAACTTATTTTTCTTGGTAGTATTAAAATATTATAAAAGACCACAAGTAAAGTTTTGGTAATCCTATGCCATTGTAACTATAGGGTGAGATTTCCTGATGACCTACTTTAGTGTTTACCCGTGATTGTTATTGATCTTATACTGTTGCAATGGACACATTGTGATTCAGGATCATCTAATGAAATTCGTCAATATTTTGATATACCTATATATAAGGTCACCTGCCTGACCACTTGGATTTTCTCTCGGTATCCTGGTTTCTTCCCACATTAACATCCAGGCCAACAAGAATGATAAATTGAAGTTCAAATAACTTTTTTCATAATTGTTGTAAAAAAATTTATCACTGACCTGCATTTACCTTTATTATAACACTGACCTGTGTTGACCTCCACCTCTAGTATAACACTGACCTGTGTTGACCTCCACCTATAGTATAACACTGACCAATGTTGACCTCTAGTTTAACACTTACTTGTGTTGACCTCCACCTCTAGTATAACACTGACATGTGCTGACTTCCATCTCTAGTAAATAACACTGACCTGTGTTGACCTCCACCTCTAGAATAACACTGACCTGTGTTGACCTCCACCTCTAGTATAACACTTAACACTGACCTGTGTTGACCTCCACCTCTAGTGTAACACTGACATGTGTTGATCTCCATCTCAAGTATAACACTGGCCTGTGTTGATCTCCATGTCTAGTATAACACTGACCAGTGTTGACCTCCACCTCTAGTATAACACTGGCCTGTGTTGACCTCCACCTCTAGTATAACACTGACATGTGCTGACTTCCATCTCTAGTAAATAACACTGACCTGTGTTGACCTCCACCTCTAGTATAATACTGACCTGTGTTGACCTTCACCTCTAGTATAACACTGACCTGTGTTGACCTTCACCTCTAGTATAACACTGACCTGTGTTGACCTTCACCTCTAGTATAACACTGACCTGTGTTGACCTCAACCTCTATTATAACACTGACCTGTGTTGACCTCCATCTCTAGTATAACACTGACCTGTGTTGACCTCCATCTCTAGTATAACACTGACCTGTGTTGACCTCCACTTCTAGTATAACACTGACCTGTGTTGACCTCCTCCTCTAGTATAACACTGACCTGTGTTGACATCCACCTCTAGTATAACACTGACCTGTGTTGACTTCTAGTATAACACTGACCTGTGTTGACCTCCGCCTCTAGTGTAACACTGACATGTGTTGATCTCCATCTCAAGTATAACACTGGCCTGTGTTGATCTCCATCTCTAGTATAACACTGACCAGTGTAGACCTCCACCTCTAGTATAACACTGACCTGTGTACTGACCAATGTTGACCTCTAGTTTAACACTTACATGTGTTGACCTCCACCTCTAGTATAACACTGACCAGTGTTGACTTCTAGTATAACACTGACCTGTGTTGACCTCCGCCTCTAGTGTAACACTGACATGTGTTGATCTCCATCTCAAGTATAACACTGACCTGTGTTGATCTCCACCTCTACCTCTAGTATAACACTGACCTGTGTTGACCTCAACCTCTATTATAACACTGACCTGTGTTGACCTCCACCTTTAGTATAACACTGACCTGTGTTGACCTCCACCTATAGGATAACACTGACCAATGTTGACCTCTAGTTTAACACTTACATGTGTTGACCTCCACCTCTAGTATAACACTGACATGTGCTGACTTCCATCTCTAGTAAATAACACTGACCTGTGTTGACCTCCACCTCTAGAATAATACTGACCTGTGTTGACCTCCACCTCTAGTATAATACTGACCTGTGTTGACCTCCACATGTGTTGACTTCCATCTCTAGTAAATAACACTGACCTGTGTTGACCTCCACCTCTAGTGTAACACTGACCTGTGTTGACCTTCACCTCTAGTATAACACTGACCTGTGTTGACCTTCACCTCTAGTATAACACTGACCTGTGTTGACCTTCACCTCTAGTATAACACTGACCTGTGTTGACCTCCACCACTAGTATAACACTGACCTGTGTTGACCTCTAGTATAACACTGACCTGTGTTGACCTCTACCTATAGTATAACACTGACCAATGTTGACCTCTAGTTTAACACTTACTTGTGTTGACCTACACCTCTAGTAAAACACTGACCTGTGTTGACCTCCACCTCTAGTATAACACAGACCTGTGTTGACCTCCACCTCTAGTATAACACAGACCTGTGTTGACCTCCACCTCTAGTATAACACTGACCAGTGTTGACCTCACCTCTAGTATAACACTGACCTGTGTTGACCTTCACCTCTAGTATAACACTGACCTGTGTTGACCTTCACCTCTAGTATAACACTGACCTGTGTTGACCTCGACCTCTAGTATAACACTGACCTGTGTTGACTTCTAGTATAACACTGACCTGTGTTGACCTCCACTTCTAGTATAACACTGACCTGTGTTGACCTCCTCCTCTAGTATAACACTGACCTGTGTTGACCTCCACCTCTAGTATAACACTGACCTGTGTTAATCTCCACCTCTAGTATAACATTGACCTGTGTTGACCTCCACCTCTAGTATAACACTGACCTGTGTTGATCTCCACCTCTAGTATAACACTGACCTGTGTTGACTTCTAGTATAACACTGACCTGTGTTGACCTCCTCCTCTAGTATAACACTGACCTGTGTTGTCCTCCACCTCTAGTATAACACTGACCTGTATTGACCTCCATCTCTAGTATAACACTGACCAGTGTTGACCTCCACCTCTAGTATAACACTGACCTGTGTTAACCTCCACCTCTAGTATAACATTGACCTGTGTTGACCTCCACCTCTAGTATAACACTGACATGTGTTGATCGCCATCGCAAGTATGACACTGACCTGTGTTGATCTCCATCTCAAGTATAACACTGACCTGTGTTGACATCCACCTCAAGTATAACACTGACCAGTGTTGACCTCACATCTAGTATAACACTGACCTGTGTTGACTTCTAGTATAACACTGACCTGTGTTGACCTCCTCCTCTAGTATAACACTGACCTGTGTTGACCTCCACCTCTAGTATAACACTGACCTGTGTTGACCTCCACCTCTAGTGTAACACTGACCTGTGTTGACCTCCATCTCAAGTATAACACTGACCTGTGTTAATCTCCACCTCTAGTATAACACTGACCTGTGTTGACCTCCACCTCTTGTATAACACTGATTTTCTTTGACTTTCAACTTCTACCTATAGTATAAACTGACCAGTGTTGACCTCTAGTATAACACTGACATGTGTTTATTTCCATCTCAAGTATAACACTGTCCTGTGTTAATCTCCACCTCTAGAATAACACTGACATGTGTTGACATCCACCTCTAGCATAACACTGACCTGTGTTGACTTCTAGTATAACACTGACCTTTATTGACCTCCAGCTCTAGTAGAACACTGACCTGTGTTGACTTCCATCTCTAGTAAATAACGCTGACCTGTGTTGACCTCCCCCTCTAGTATAACACTGTCCAGTGTTGACCTCCACCTCTAGTGTCACACTGACCTGTGTTGACCACCACCTCTAGTATAACACTAACCTGTGTTGACCTCCACCACTAGTATAACACTGACCTGAGTTAACCTCCACCTCTAGTATAACGCTGACATGTGTTTATTTCCATCTCAAGTATAACACTGACCAGTGTTGACCTCTAGTATAACACTGACCAGAGTTGACCTCCACCTCTAGTTTAACACTGACCTGTGTTGATCTCAACCTCTAGTATAACACTGAGCAGTGTTGTCCTCCACCTCTAGTATAACCCTGACCTGTGTTGACCTCCTCCTCTAGTATAATACTGACCTGTGTTAATCTCCACCTCTAGAATAACACTGACATGTGTTGATCTCCATCTCAAGTATAACACTGTCCTGTGTTAATCTCCACCTCTAGTATAACCCTGGCATGTGTTGATTTCCATCTCAAGGATAACACTGACCTGTGTTAATCTACACCTCTAGTATAACACTGATCTGTGTTGACCTCCACCTCTAGTATAACACTGACCTGTGTTGACCTCCACCTCTAGTATAACACTGATTTTCTTTGACATTCAACTTCTACCTATAGTATAATGCTGACCTGTGTTGACCTCACTTCTACTTATCAATTATTGTCTTTTACATTTGTTGAGATAAATATGTACATGTTGTTACCTGGTATATGAACCTGAGAACAAAACACTTGCAGAGACAAAAATGAAATTTGTTTCAGTAAAAGTCAGTTGGTGTATACATTTTTTATCTCTTCTGTGTATGACAATAATAAATCTCAATGACCACTTGCTATGGTGTTCAAAATTTTGAATGGGAAGACTGCCAAATGTTTGATCAACATATGTATATTTACATGTTGTTCTGAGTCTGACAACAACCCACTGTACATACCTTAGTACATTTTGTTACATATTATAATTATGTACATGTATATAATTGTTTTCAACTCTTCAGAAAATTCCCCAGAGTCTGTGGTTCTTGTCTGTGGCTCTCCACAAAAGACCAGACTTTCTACTGCAGCTCATTCGAGAAGAAACTGAGCGAGAAATGAAAAAAAAACTAAGAAAACCAGGAGGTGAGAAAATATGTTTAGTCTGTAAAATTAGTCTGCATATTTCAGGATATCATATTTATACAATGTAACAGGCCACAGGACAGCCATCAAATCTCTTTGTAGTAGTCGAAGTATAAGTGGTATACCTAAAGACTGTAAAGCCAGCCTTGGTAAAATATATCGTCCTTGGGTTGGTAAATTCTTGTATCAACCTTCATTAAGGTTAATATTTGTATATAGCTGCAAGAATTAATTAATAAATATCAACATTAGATTGTTTTTTTAAACACATGTCCATTCATTTTATATCAGAAATTAAAACAGATTTTAATGTATCTATAGCTGGCCATAAAACTTTTATTTTGAATATTTTAGGGGTTATGAGATTAAGTTTTGTTCAATATACATGTATAGTTAACTTTAAGTAGCAGATAAGTTATAACAGCACATCAATCTTTTGAAATTATGGAAACATCTGTCCTTTATATCCCTGGTGTGGTAAAATATAAGCTGCTGTGACTACTTGGCCACATGGTCTGTTGTTATTTCTAAGTTGTCTGTTTTTGAGCTGGAACATAATTCACTGCCCCTAGTTTGAAACTTGATCATTATCTCAATGAAGGATGCCATCCTCTTGTTTCCTATGATTTGACACCTGTGACAAGAACAATTGCGATAATGTGTCATGTTCAAGGACACAGCCATGATTAGCTTGTAACTGTCATTCTGTGAGGTTCAGCACCAAAGGTCAGTAGCTATATACACTGAGGCTGACACACTACCCAGCTGTGCTATCCTTCCTCACTGTTTAGTGGTTTTATTGTAGTATCTAATGTTCTGAATTTTAATTTATCTATTTCCTTTCCTCAGTGACTTTGCTGTGGACCTATTTGAATAACCACAATTTCACAGAGTTCCACCTGGACAGCATATTTAAATATGGGGATGACAACAAACTGCCAAAGGAGGTACATTCTGTCAGAACTAAACATTTGCTATTTGTATGTCACAGATATTTCAGTAGCACCTGTCTTTTACATGTATATAAAAAAGTGTTGGACTAACGTTTGTGTAGCTTCTGAAATTGATATATATACAAACTGTTTGTGTAGAATGAAACCGTTGCAGAAATTCTTGGTTTACTGTAAGTTTAAAGAGTTAAATAGTAGCATGATTCCACTGACCACCAAGAAAATTCTTTTAAAATACAGTACTGTACATTGATGTTGAGGTTTTCATTCCTGCCACTGTTTAAGTGTACCGATATTATTGTAATTGTAATGGAACTCTAGCAAATACTCTCATGTGTCTTTTATTGTTCAATCTACCAAACATAGTAGTAAGTGATACATTGAACATTGGTTATCACCCTTTATTGCCATTATGAGAAGGATGGGAGGCTCACAAATGTTAAAGAAAATTAAAACATGTTTTTCTTTCAGATCTTCCGGTGTCCGAATGTTAAGTTCTTGTCCCTGAAGTATAACTGCCTAGAAAACCTGCCATCTGACGTTGGTCGGATGCAACAGTTGGAGTACCTGGCCCTTACCAACAACAAGCTCCAAGTGCAGTCCATTCCCTACACACTCGTCTTCTGCAGAAAGCTCAAGACCATTCTCCTGGACAACAACATACTAGATGCACTCCCAGGGTTCCTCCTGAAAATGCCTTCCATTAAAACAGTCCATCGTCATGGCAACCATAATTATTTCAAATCCACTTTTATGTGGTACCACACAGATGTTGAGTTTCGAATTATTCCTGTGTCGGGGACAAACACATTTGGAACGAGTGAACCACAGAGCTTGCAGTTCTGGGCAGCCAAGGCTGTGATTGGATCCAAGCTAGACTTCTATAAGGACCCGTCTGTGGCCCTTGTGTTAAAGGACTATATATCTGACATTTATCACATGTTTAGAGTGTGTCATTTCTGCACTACAGCCTGCCTTCCTGACCAGATAGGTAAGAGAAAGGTGATACAGTCAGACCTGTATTGAGAGACTAGTGTTAGAAATTGGTTGATTTTATGATTGATCTTTGGATTAAATCACTCTACTGAAAACTCCTTAATATCTACACACAATTAATACAACTGAAATTCATCATGAATTCTATAGTCGATTATAAACAGTTTGTTGGCCTAACTGACCGATAGTCAACAAAGTCGATGAATCAGAACACCACTGTGATAATGAGAAACCAACCTTGGAAGTTAAAACAATGGTCTATTAATGAAGTTGATTTCATAATACAGGTTCAATACACAATGAAATCACAACAATGGGGAACATTAAAAGTGGTCTTTTAATGGAAGTGGTCACATGACTTTATCATTTTAGTACTGCATAGATATTATAAAGACAGTTTTAATGATGTCTAAATTAGCAGGTACATGTAGGTTCATTGATTTTGTAATCACATAACTAAAATTGTGTTAAGTTAGTTTTCAGGGCTAAGTGATGGATCAAGTTTAAATAACTATTGTTAGACATTCATGATTCATACAATGTATTGTTTTCTAAGTTCAAATTTAGGATTCATGTACCGACCACATTGGTTACATCAGTAATGACACATTGGTTACATGGGTGATAGCTATTGTACGGTAGTTCATCATAGAGATAGCGTTATAAATACCAATATATTACATTATGATACTGTATACCTCTAACAACACTTGTGTATATATTCCAGGTTACAAGGTGATAACATTTAAGAATCCTTACCTGGGAAACACCTGTGTGCCCTTTCAGCATTGGGCCTGCTCTATAGACTGTGCTAAAGCCTTGGAGGTTCCTGCACGCATGGAACAGATCCAAGCTGCCCTGCGCCTTGACAGTCTGTACGAAGAATACGTGGAGGAGTGTACACAGATGTTCTATCACACGCGCCACAGTAAGGCTGTCTGTTCCTGCTTCACCTCTCGTACGACCGAGTATGTGCCACCTTTGAACAAAGAAACATGGCTTGCCACACCTCACTCCCCAGGGGCCAGTAGCTCCAGGAATAACCAGTGTGCAATATCCTGATGGCAAATACATGTACTTGTTTTGTCTCTAATATCTTACATCTGATGAGGTGTAGATAAAAACATGAGTCCAAGATCCATAACATTCCTGATTTTCCCGAAAACCTTGTTTAGTTGATACCAGTGGGTGAATGGTTACATGTAGGCCTTATTGGTGTGTATATGTAATCATCACAGTTGTTAGTTTAAGCATCAAGTTGTAATAAGTTTTCTCGTTTTATTCTAATTGTATATTTAATTGCAAGTTGTCCAAATTTAATTTGGATTTTCTTTTGTGTCAAGCATGCAAAGTTTTACTTTCAGTCTATCGATAGTTTGGTATTTATGTGTACAAAATGAAATGCAATGATACATTTTAAACTAACTATCTCTGTATTACATGTACTATGTATGGATAGTTAAGATACCTACTGGGAGTTGACAATATAAATCAAAACTTACTCCAATCACTAGCAGAAGAGAAATTCATTGAACAGTGACAATCCTGAATGGTGCATGATAACATGAATATAATATTTCATCGCTGGACAAAAAGATTTATTTCATAACAAATTCAGAAGTTCATTTTATTATATTTTATTATTTTAATGCTGATTATTACAGGACAGGATATATTTTGATAGAAAAATTATCTCGGCCCAGGATCAATGTAAAAATAAAGATGACTCATTCCAGAATGCTGTATAATTTGAAACAGGATCTTGAAATACCAGTGCAGCACTCAAATGAAGACACTTTATACAGATTTTTTTCTGGCTGAACATGAAATTTTCTTCCAACAAAATCAATCAATTATAGTTTGAAAATATCTAGTTTTGAGAGAGCATGTACCCATTTAATGTTTCATGCTATATGAAGCAAGTGGGAGAATAAGAGTTTGAAAGATTTAAAACAAAAAAACCATGGTGGCATAGTTAACCTGTGTACATGGATATTCAATATATCAATTCAGATTTGAAATGTGGTGTAAATTAGATTGTGGTGCACAGAACAAGAGGAGGAAGATACTATGTGATATTATAATTAGGAGACAATCTCAGAGGTCAGAAACTGTTTCAAATCATTTCCAAAGAATTTTTATCAACGCCAATACTTATTGATGCTTTAAATCATAAAGATGAAACACCTTTTTTGTCACTACTACAAATTGTTAAAGTTGTCCACATCAAATTCCACTGTAACATATATCGTACATGTGCTTTTAATAGTGCTGTTAGTTTGTGTCTATACATTTGAGACACCTTTGATTACATTCTATAGTTTGTTAACATGTCATTTGCATAATATTTACACTATGGTTGAAATCTGGAGGTCAGTAACTTTGGTTTCAGAGAAGAAGACTTTCAATGAAATTATCTACTAGCTTATAGCTGTCCGCAGACAAATATTATCTCTGAACAGGAAAGTAGTCCTGTGTGTAGATTTGGAAGTTGCTTGAAACAAAAAATGTTAAAGTAAAAACCAGTTGTTATTTGCATGTTATTCTTGAAGTCTCTGCTTTATATGAACACACTAAATGAAGAATTATTGCCTTCCCTACATCATGTCATGTAACCACAGAATAGATTATTTTGAAATTTGTAATATGATACTTCTTTCGTCCAAAATAAATTCTTTAACCCTTTCACCACTGTAGACCATAATGGACTCGTCCAGATCAATGTATGGTTGAGTCTACTAAAGTTATCTAGGGGTGAAAGGGTTAACTTCTTACACATAATGTTTTACAAATACAATTGTATGTACATGTACATTATTTTTTCATGGATAAATTCATCATTGTTGGAAAAGTCCAATCACATACAGACCACTTTGTCCAGAGTGTATACGTAGTACCTAGCATTGTGGAAGGAAGTCTTTAATATCTGTTTTAGATAATAGAGGTATACTGTATACTTACTATGCTAGGGATCAGTCTTTACAACAAAATGTTTTCTTTCAGATTTTCTTAAAAATCGCCTCATCAGGTTTACTATTTTGTGAAATTCAGTCAAAATTTCCATCATACCTTAAAGGCCAAAAAATTACATTTTAAAATAAACTTTATAGCCTAAAAAAGTGTTTTACCTGTTTGATCAGGCAGGTGCCCCCATTACCATTTCATATTCAGTCAGGGAATCAAACCCCGGCTGTCTGTGGAAGGGGAGTCTGGTATTCACTGTACCACCGGACCACTTGATCTATTGAATGCTTTGATATTGTAGTTTTCTTTCTGAAGTACAGTGATATCATTATCAATCATGACATTGTCCGAAATTAGATTTTGCGTCACAGCTGGCCTGTTTTTCCTGCCAATGCTCCGTATTATTTTGCCTCAGAATCAATCTTGATGCCAAAACTCAGTTGCCTATCGATCTTGTTGTTTGTCATATGAACATTTTTGTTACATTATTTTGTTATTTCTGATTTGTAATCTTCCATAATTATCATATATATTTTGTTGTTGTCAGTTCTAGGTATTTTGTATAATTATAAAAAACCCACTATTGTCACTTATGATTTTAATGTTTCTCACTATACTTATTTTGTTGTAATGTGATTTCGTATATTTAGTACAAATTTAAATTTCTGCTTTGTTGATTTGTTTAACCATGTATTTATGTTTCAAATGTGTCCCGTTGACAACTTTGATCTAAGGCATTGCCATACTACACTGTAGACTTCTCAGCATTTGGTTTAGATTTTGAACGTTGACCGACTACCATACTGACCCATTTTGAACCAGAATCTATTAACTGTCCACCATAATGCATTGTATTCAGTAAAACCTTGTTTTACCGCCACCATTTATTTGTTCAGTCAAATATTGGTGTTTTAAAGGCGTTTGGCATCATATCAAGGGAAAGGTATGAAGGATTTAAAAAGGGGACAGTTAAATATGTTGTTGGTAAGTAAGAAAGCAAATGAAACAAAGAGAATTACATTAAGGCTCATTTGTACAAATGAATATAAAGGATAAGTTCTTGTCAGACAGTGAGTTGGAATAAGTTTGACCAACCTGGTATGTAAAGTTTGACCTTGAAACTGAGTGTAGGATCTAGTGGGTTAAGATAGTCCTCTACTATCAAGCCTATGACTTCAGAAAACAGAATTGTGCTGAAAATATGATTTAATTCAGTCATAGCCTCAGTTTCAGCTGGGAACAAGTGCTTGGTATAAAGTGGGGTTTGATCATGTAGCATTTAGCGGGATAGAACAGCTATAGTCAAACTGACTAGTTGTTAGTACAGTACTGTTTAAGATTTCTGCAGGATCAGTAAATCTGCAGCTTGTACGAGAAAGGTAGACAAGGTAATGATGGTCAGTGTGGGTTTGTTAGGACAATTAGATAATAATGGGGTTCTGAAGAAGCCGTAAGTCGATGACACAGTGAAACCTGTCTAAACTGAAACCTAACATTATTCAAGTTCCAACATGACAAGTTGCTGTGCTATGTATTACACAGGTTCTATAAACATACCTAGTCAAAATGGTAATTGTCTGACCTAGTTAAAGTTCCATTTTATACAGGTCTCCAGGTTACATAGGGTTTAGTTTGGACAGGTTATGATTCAATTGCAGCCTAGAACAAACTTGTGTTGGGAGATATATGACCTAGCCAACTGTAGAAATACTGGGTATAATCTCCTATTACTGAATATTGATCTGTGAACACATACATTTATGAAAGTCATGCATTAAAAAGCACTTGGACTACATATAGACTTAGTGTATATATATAGACCAATGGCTACCTAAATATCTATATTTAGACATGGACTTGAAATGGGACTTGGTGTCTATAAATAGACCATGGTCTGGGAGTGTGACCAAGTGCTTTTATAAAGACCACTAGCTAGAAATAATTTTTGACATCAATACTTTAAGTTTAAAAAAATGAATGATCTTAGTTACCTGAGAAAAAACGAGAAGGAGAGCACTTGAAGAATATAATAAGAATGAAAAAGAATGAGAATGAACTTTGTTTTATAAGCAAAGGATCGTGTCAACTGAGTCATGTCGACTGAGTAAATGATAAAGACTGACCTGTAGAACGAGTAAAGATTGACTTTGTGATATGATAGCAATGAGGGTGACAGGATAAGAATGACCTTTGATGAATCAAAGGTGAGAATGACCTTTGATGAGACTGAGGTTTTGATGAGTGAAGAATGAGATGAAAAGAGATTGACTTGTATTATGAAAGAATAACCTTTGATGGTTCAAAGGTGAGAATGACCTTTGATGAATCAAAGGTGAGAATGATGGCAAGGATAATAATGACAGGATAAGAACGACCTTTCATGATTCGAGGATAAGACTGACAGGAGAATGTTTTGATGAGTCAAAGACGAGAATGACTTATGTATTAGAGAACCTTTGTGAAGTAACACAAGAATGACATCGGGAGTCCATTCTGTGATCGCTGTTTCAGCCAAATATTTGACTATATCCTTGATAGATTTATAATATGTTACAAAAGCTTTGAATCATGCCATGTTTGCTGCATTAATTTTTTAATTAATGTTACATGTATTTATTGTAATAAAAAGTTTAACAAAACATTGAAATAGTTTTTGTTTTTGGCTCACTTACTCAAGAGTTGAGATTATGCCACATGGCAAAGCATCTGCCCGTCGTTGTCTACTTTTCCTTTTAAGATAATGCTATATTGAGCAACCTTGGCTTTAAAATGTGTCGGACCAAATTTAGTAAAACTCTGCTCAGCAGTTCTGATGGCGGGTGTAGCACACTAGGAAACAGAAGAGGCAGACTCAATAGGGGAAGTAAAGGTAAAGCTATAAATCCTGCTTTGTAAATCTTGTAAAGGCATTTTACCTAAATTTGGTCAGGAGTATCCTTTGCACTGTGATAAACAACATTTTATGAACAGAAGTTGAGAAGGTGTTCAGATGGACAGCAGATGCCGTGTCATTTCATAAGCTCGCCGCAGGCCACAGAGGTCAAGGTGACAAACACAGTGAAATATGCTATACCGGTAATTATCGAGGCACAAAAGTATTTGAAGTAACATGATCCTGCAGTACTGACCTAAACACAAAAACCTACCCAACTGTACATACATATTGCGAACGTACCAGGGTAACACTAAATGCCCTTTACCACTTGGTGGCAGGACATAAAATAAAGACCAGCCAACAAGTTCACATGGTCAAATATGTTGAATTTTTGAGGAGAAAAAAACTAAGAACCAGAGAGTCATGGAGCCATGATACTTGGGAACGTAGATCAGCAGTGCAAAACCTTTTTTGAAATGTGTGCTGGCTAAGGTCAAGATAGGCTATTATAGGTAAAACCCTAAAGGACACTAATGAGTGCAATAAGGCCCAATGCAGAGTCATGTTTGACTTGAAGGATGGAGTGCTTTAAAATTTCTTTATATAAATGACCTTGACCAAGATAACAGTAGTCCTGCATATTTAATATCAAAACAATGGACTTGAGTCATGATACGTTTGGTACATGTTTTAGAACAGTAGTGTCAATCTTTATGTAATTACCTGTATAAAATTGTGTAAAGGTTGAAGGTCAACTGGAGTTTTGGGTTGAGGTCAAGCACCGACATGGGCCATAACGGAGAAACAAAATTAGAAAATGTTCTTATCAGGCTTATTATCTTGATATTAAACCTGTCGTTAATGGGCTGAAGCATTTTTTTATAAAGCTGTAAAATGACCTTGACTCACTTTCATTATCACAAAATCACAAAAGAAATAAGTTTGACCAACATTCAACTTACAAAAATGGTTCAGTGGTTCAGCTCATCAAGTTTTCAAATAAATGTGCTAAACACTAACCATACAGGTGAGCATTGAAGTAAAATGTCATTTCTGTGTGTGACTAATCCCATTAAATCTGAATTCAGGAATATATTTCTGTCAATCCTATCAATACTCATATGGTATCTGTTTATGCATGTTCCCATGATTTCCAGACCAATCCTCACAAATTAAAGTTTATCGCAGCTGTCATCAGCAAACACATGCTTGACTTATCTTTTCAATATCTTCAGAAATTATGATAATACATGTACAAACACTTGTCATGTAGTTGACCTTTGATATCCTGAATGAAATGCCCCACCTTGAGCTGCTTCCTTCCCGATACATGCCAGCAATTCCTGTATAATCGAGTTAGGAATGTTTTCATTCAAGTAATACACTTGCCCGAAGGACAAACTGCACATTTGAGTTCATGCTATGGCATGGCATCTTCATCAACTTTTCTTTTAAAAGTCTACACCAGTATTTAATTCCCAAAAGCTGAAGAAAGTTTTTACTAATCTTGGCATGTCGAATCATTGGTGGACCACAGGAATTTAATTTTGTATAAATGAAGGGTGTAGCCTTCTTGGCAAAATGGGGGATAAAGGGATTTTTTTCTTTAAAAGACTACTTTTTAAAAAGAGGTGAAGGAATTTGAACCTTTTACACAGAAAATCCCTGGGCCATGATCATTTGTGAGAGTATAACTGAAGAGTGTTGTCTCCAATGATTTAAAAGGGTTGAAACCCAAATAGGCGAGGTAAATCTGCTTCTTAACTCATTCACCCCTGAAATTTCATACTGAACTATTCCAACCTTTGAATTGGAAGAGTTCAAATGTGTCTTCAGGGGTGAATGAGTTAATATGTATGGGTGAAGCCATTTAGACCTAACTTGGCTTGAAGCATCCCTGGTACAAAAACAAATTCAACGTTATATACTGGTAAATGAAGGGTGTGGTCCCCTGGGGGCATATTAAGGATGAGGTTTAAAAGAGAAATAAAAAAATTATGTTTAAACCTGAAGTAATGGTGATCCAAGAGACTTTGACCAAATTTAGCACAAACCATCCCCAGGCCTTGGGTACTCAATGTTGATTAATGAAAGGTATGGCTCTCAATCAGAGAAGATATGCTTGGCTAATTAGGAGAAATTCAGATTTTTTTTTTTTAAGACAAAAATAATTACCATGGAGACATTTCAACTTCCTCTCTCCAGATCACAAGAAAATAGGAATGCAATAAGACATCTTGTCAGATGTAGTTCCTTGTGCATATATGTTGCTTATAATGAAGAGGAATATATCCAACCTTTGATAACTGTGATATACTTGTGTCCAATTAAGCAACTTTAATACTGTACGTTAGTCTTCCGAATAAACTCATGGAAAGGCTGAATTTCCCGTACCGAAATCTGGTCTTGTAACCATTGTCGAAGTCATGGCCTCTTCATCTGTTTTTGATACCAAGGTTTGTCCAGAGCATAGCTTCCTGTCCATGTCACTGATGATCACTATACTTCATATACTTATGCATTTTTAGAAGACAAAGTGTCCCATACTGAAATCGGGGCCTGTATTCATGAAACCGTTATTATACTGATTTAATGCTCAGAAATATACAGAACTATGGCCCTTTGTACATCTTTTGACAACTGATACCAGTTTGTCTAGAGAATAACATCTTTGCCATTCCACCTATATTCACCTAATTCTCTAAATTAATAGACTTTAAATATTGGGAAGTGTTGTAGTTCAAATGAATGTCTCATGCTTCACTATATATAATGTTAAGGTCCCTTGTTAAAAAAATATTTATAAAAAAAAAACTATATATAGAGTTAAGGCCCCTTGTTCCTTTTATTCATTAAAAAGACTATACATCAAGTTAAGGCCCCTTGTTCATTTTATTCATCAAAAAGACTATACATCAAGTTAAGGCCCCTTGTTCATTTTTCATACAAAAGATTGTCTGCAGCATATTTATCTTGCTATTTCACTTATGAGAACCAAACTTGCTGTTTGTGTTTATTAAGAAAAAGCAGAATGTTGTGCACCATCTTCCATTTGTGTATATTTCTAAACATCAATCACTGAACATGATACAGATCTACATGGATACTACATGGTATGTAATAGGTGTATATTGTCCACTACCTCGGTACTCCTGGTGGAGTTCCAGAGGAAGTGTTTTATTAACTGCTTTTCTACTGTAACAGATTTAGTTAAGATGTAGACTTGTATATAGCATGATCTGGATTATTCAGTATGTTCATATGGGGTCAAGAAGACTAAGCACAAGCTCCTATATATGTACATACACCGAAAACTTCTCCAACAAATGGACAATTGATTTAAAATAATCGTGTTCATGTAATTTTGTTGGTGTCCAAACTGGATTTGATAAAAAAAAAATACCATTTCACCACTGTACTGCTCATATCACTTTTATGTTGAAGCCTTGCTCTTCCTTTCTTCACAAACCACATCATAGATATCACAATTCACTATATCAGACCCTAATAAATGTCAGCCCTGCTCAAGTTTTAGAATTGTTAAGATAAGAAGGCCAAATTGGCTCAAGCATTGTTTTAACTAGGTTAGCATTCTTGAAATTTCAAGGTCATACATTTCCTTATGTTCTCCTTTTAATTTTTAAAAGCTATACCCAAGATTTTTTTTATTAATTCAAGACATTTTATTATTTCAAAACAAAAGGATCTGACAACAGGCAAAGCCTATATAAGTCTTTCCAAAAACTTTAAGTGGATGTAGAAAATATGTAGACATTTGACCTTATACTGAAACCTTGGCCTTGGACTCAAGCACATGAAACTGTATGTGTCACATGGCCTTGTGGTGTTACAAGTGTCTGAAGCTTGTGTTATATATCTGTAGTATTGTGGAAGTTGAGGCCCACACCAGGAAAGTGCTGTATGTAAACAAATGTTGGTAGCACCTTATATACCTAAAAATATTTTCATGTGTGGGCACAAAAATTGGTTTCAGTCATTCAGAGTGGTGATTGGAAATCGGTTTAAAACCATGATCAATCATCAGTTTGTAATCGGAGGTAGTAAACTGATTGATGATCAGTTGTATAATCAGTTGATCATTGTATGGGACTGAATACCCAAATAAAGTGACAGTTACATCAATAGATAGAGTTGTTAACTATACATTAGGTGTCCTTTTTTACAATGGATGGATATCAAACTTTTATAATGGATGGATATCAAACAGTTTTGATTTTTTTCTACATTACCATCATCCATATCACAAAAATCGTAAGAATAAATGTATTTCAATGCATACTTTACAGTGTATACATTTGACACTTTGAGATCAATAATGAACTGATTATGGAATTTTTAAAAGATTAACGGAATCAGAAAGGGCAAAGCGATCAACTATTGATTATAACCGATCATCAGCACAGAAAGAGGTACCTGTATATGTCAACAGTTCAGAGTTCCCCTGTCTACAGGGTATTTTGATCGATACAACCAAGAAAAACAAAACAAAGTAATGTTTTATAACCTTTTCTTTATAATCTCTTTCCAGTTGTCGGTTAAACCACATGTACATGTATAACCTATACCAGTACATACAGATTCTATGTACAACCTGTACAGATCACAGCGCACTTATAACACCATCTTCCCCTCCTTTGCTATGATATTTATACACATATACACAAAGATTTATGTAATGTGTATGCCAGGAGTACTAAGTTTAAGATTTAATGCTTTTAACTCATTCACCCCTGAAGAGACATTTGAACTCTTCCAATTCAAAGGCTGGACTAGTTCATTATGAAATTCAGGGGTGAATATGTTAAATCCTATTTAGATGAATTAATAAAGTAGATCCAGCTAAATTTTGCTATTTGACATTATTCTTATATAACAAGGAAAAATGATATAATGAGCATTTTTAAGTAACATTTTTATCAGATATGGAAAACCAAAAACTGGAAAAATATGTCTGACTTGATAAAGTATGATAATTTCCTGTTTTATTTGCTGTGTCCCTATATAGAGTTCCCACTTCATTCCCTCTCAGTCGCATGTACCTGTACACCAACAACTTACAATGTCATAAATAAATTACTCATAACCTACTTTAAATTATGTACAGTATACACCTCAATGAGGTGATATACAAGTCTAAAGGTATTATTTGTGTACACAGTACTTTAAATATTTACAAATTAAAGATAAATTTGATGATATTGATAATGAACACTCAATCATACATGCTGATGTTTCATTCATATTTCAAACTCATTAACTTACACACATTCACAAAACATTCAATCATGCATTAAAAGTTGTTCCCAGCTAAAATGGAAATGATCACGAAAAAACAGGACATTTCATAGCATAAAATCAAATTCATTATCCCTGTTTATTTACTCATTGCACAGTTCTGAAAATGTTCTCACATAACTTCAATGTCAATTGTGTCCTGTGTAAGACTCATTTACTAATTAGCTTTCTGCAAAACCAGAAATGTAGGTCCTTGATATGTTTTCCTAGAAATCAAATGACCACTTCCAACAAAATGAAATATTTTGAAAGAAAAAATTCATGTATATATCTTACAGATTTGTTTTAAGGACAACACTTAATTTGGAAAAAAGAAGTTTTCAAATTGATCACTGGCACGAAACATTGTCCTTTGCTATCTAGATGATAGCACATCTTTAAGAATTTCACTTGAAGTGTTTATAGGTGTGCTATGTGCTGTTATTGGCGTGAACACGCCTAGCGTTGGCGACATGGGAGCGGAGGACATGAGGATATGAGAGTCGTAAGAGGCTGTACTGGTTCCTGTCTGTCCTGGCATGGCCACATGTCTGGGCGCAGTAAAGGGGTTGTAGGCCGCCTTGTCCTTGTGTCTCTGCACATCAAGGACCATCTCCTCTGCAGGGAGGCGAAGACTAGGAGGGGGAGGCGTTGATTCCTTCTCCAAGAACTTTACAAACAACTCAGAAAATGACTGAAAAAGATTGAAGAAATATCCAATGAAAAGAAGTTATTAACAAGATATGTTCTAACCCTTGATGATGATCCAGCAATTTATAAAACAATGTCATTTTCTTCTTTTTACCGATGTTTGAATATTTATCATTTTTTTTTGTTTTACTGAATTTTTAAGAACCTCTACATTTCCTTTTCTCCAAAAAGTTATTTTCTTCACATGTATCACAAAAACTTGTTTCATAAAAGTGACCTACTTTATCTGCCCGTGGTGTTGACATGTTTAGTCTCTGAGGTGTGTGGACAGATGAAGACACTGGGGAGGGCGAGCCAGCTCCTCCACCAAACCTTAGGAACCCTGGTATCCAGCCTTTATTCAGAACATTTATCTGTAAACAACAATTTCAAAGCAGTTTTAGTTCTGACAGGCAGAATAACAAGCTAATCTGCTATAATTGTAAATTTGACTTCTTTCACTCCCAAGATTTTTATATTTTCAATTTATCACATTAAAAACAACAACATGAAAGAATAGTAGAATTCACTGCATAAATGTATCCTCCACACATTGTTATTCAGTTTTTTTACACAGTTTCCATGGCCATCACCTCTATACAGCCTATTAGAGTAGCTACCTTCTCGAAGTCTGTGGGCGTGAAACTCAACACACCGCCGATTGCCTTGAGGACTTGATACTGTTGATCCTTAGGTGTCGTGAAGTATCCCAGGAATAGGTTCCTTATCACAACCCTGCAGGAAATTTAGTTATGGATACATGAACGGTTTGTACAACATGGTAAGACTAAACTTGGTCAGTACATACACCTATACAAAATTCATCAACACCCTGAAAAAAATATACCGGTAGTACTGTGTTTTAATTTATGAAACAGAGACACATTTGTCTTGATATCAAAGGCGTAACGATAAAGCCACACTTGTTACTTTACTGTAAATATTCAGGAACTGTTAACAGAGTTAAACAAAGGAGAGCCCTACAGAAATGGAATAAGTAACTATAAACAGAATTTAAGCCCCTCAAATATTGACTTTATAGTACATGTGATTTGAAATTTATCCATCACAAATAAATACGGTTCAGGATAGATCTACTACTTTGTTATATAGGTCTATTTAAGACACTCACTTTTCAACTTTAGACTCTCGGATCGTTTGTAGTTCAGATATCTGCTCCTCTGCAGCCTTTAGTGTGGTCTCTCGTAGTTGAACTGTAATGTTACACAGAGATTGAGATAGTGTTACGGTAATGTACATATAACAAAGTACACATTCTGACAATATCTGAAATATATGTAACAAGTAATGTAATACTTATATCAATATCTACAAGTATTCATAGTGTTAAATGTGGTATCATGCTGTTGTTATCATGGAGGTTAAGAACAGACAGTAAGTAAAAGTTAATACTAAAAGGCATTCCCACGTTAATATGATATACATATATGAATTAATTCTGTGAACACAATAAACATTTTCTGCAAACGTTAGTACAAGAAAAAGATAAGAAATGAGGAACTTTATCTGTCAACACTTGCGCAAGAAACAATTAATAACATTTACTTCAAATTTTAAAATCAAACAGTCTTTCAACAGAAACTAGTGAAAAGATTCTACAGAGTGTTGATCACATTACAGTTAAGATTTCAGTATTTTTCTGTGATAACCAAATTGAATATACCAGTATGTCTACAATTTCAATATCATAACAGTTTATAGAGAACTGGGGCATACATGTACAGGTCTGCAAATATTATTAAAGAAAAGGTAGCCTGTCCATCTGGTTGGTGGGTCGATGGCGCTCTGAAGTGCTGGAGCTACAAACTAAGAATACCACAAAAGGTACTGATACGTGCAATCTTCAGTACCTGATGTAATACTCACAGATGGTACTCCTTCATGCTCATGCTCACACGGTCCGCACTGCAGCCATAGGGCGAAATGCAGTAACATAATCATTCTGTTACCTCTCAAGAGGGTCTATACTACAGCAGGATACATCTATTGGAAATGAGGACCTCTCAACAGGTCTTACAGCCATTCACACAATGCAATCAGGCAAGGACATAGATGGAGAGAAATTGTATCACCCAACGTTATCAACATGTAAATATTAGATATATATAATTCCTGAAATAAAATCTTAATCCTCACATTTAAAAGAATTGTTATAGAAATATGATTTACTCAAGAAAAATAATTAGTGAGGAAAAAAATACAAACATAAATGAATCAGAAGCACCTGTTCCCCATTCATGTCATGCTGGTTACCACGGATACTGCAGGTGGAGATGCAGCATGCTGAGTTATAGTGTTATGTGTCCGGTGTTATTCTGTATTAGTGCTCGTTACCAGACGCTGGGTGAACCAGGAAGTATTTGTGTAGTCTCGGCTAGTAACTTGAGGCCTGAAATATCACTCAGAATTACCAGCTGAGATTAGACAAACACCAACATTATTGGCAGCTGCAAGGCAGGACAAGAGATCAACGCAGAAACCATGCACTATTTCAGTCACAAAGTCACCAGATCACGCAGGGCAACTCTCTCAGGGAAGCTCGCAATACTATCACTGTACTATGCCTACCCGGTCTACACTAGGGATCCAAGTATATATTGAAGATATCTTTTAAAATTTCCCATATGATATGAAAATTCCTTGTACATACTGACATGTTCAAGTCAAGGTAATACTTTACTGATAATGGAGAAGCTTTCGTATAGTGTATATGGTTCTCTGTTTATAAGTCAGCTTTTGTTAAGACATGGAAAGCAATGTGCAAGACAGGATAGCATGTTAGGTGCAGAAAAGACAAACACACATAAAAATGAAATGGCGAGTTATATACTAGAATTTCACAAGCAGAAGAGAGCATTTATGACTCAATGTATAGATTGTATTTGGATACTTTTTTGTCCAAAATCATTTAAATAAAAATATCACATAGTACATTTAATTAGTAAATATACTAGCTTCATCTTATTCATAACAGACTCTACACATAAGGATGTCATCAAACAGATGTCTCAACTCAACCTATGTTTACTTAGGTCTCTGTATTTACCATACTGAGCTCTTTTGAAAACATAAACTGTACATTTCAGTTTATTTTTTTTACTAATTTTCCCCATCTTTATGTATTATTATCACATTGAGGACTGATTTAGCAGGATCTACAAGCAAATTCCTGTGCCCCCCTGGGCACACTAAGCAAAGAGACTACAGGGAGGGATAGAGACCACTGCCGTTCTGCCCTGGACCGTTCCCCAACTGTTTGGGTAATATCTGCCAGCATCCTGAGGAGTACTGCCTCATCTCAGGATTACCAGCTGATATTAGACAACCAACTGGTCGTGTCAATCTCCTCGACATTATCAACAAGCCAAACAGTGTTTGTACTAGACAAAGCAAGATTTGGGAATTTAAAAACAAAAAAGCAAATGCTGTTTATCGAAAGAATTTTTCTTTTAAAAAAGCAGAAGGCAGAAAATAGCAAATTCAAATCGGAAAATCAAACAAAAGCCAGGAGAAGAGTAAAGCAAACTCTTTGTTTCAATAGAAAACAACACTTGGTTTGGACAGGGCAGTCAGCAGGTCTGGGTCGGAGAGAGGTTTTGATGCGGGGAAGGTAAAGGTCAATACTGTTTATGCTTCATATAAAGCAACATTAGGTTCTTTTTCACAATTATTTTTTAATTTGATTACTATGTACATGGATGTGTTACTTGGTATACCAACGATTCACTAAAAGAGTCTCATCACTTTGCATTACACTGTCATACTTTTGGAGATTATAAATGTATTTTAACACTTTGCATTATATTGTAGAACTTTTGGAGATTATTAAAGTATTTTTAGGCTTAACATATATACTAAAGATATAAAGATGCAGAAACGAATGCATGCTTAGCCTAATACAGTGTATATTATTTCCTTATCATCCAGCCAGCCATGCTTAAACAGCATGCTTCATAGGCAGACAATGAAGCTTAAAAAAAATATATTAGGCCATTAAAAATTCCTGAACACCTGATAATTATTGCATTTGGAGCATTAGCCTATTATAGTAGCTTCCTAAAATGCTTACATATTTTACATTCATTGCAGCTAGGCTAATATTATTGATTATATCCAGTGAAATAGCTGCAGAAATTGCCTACACCCAATGAGATTGCCCATATCAGTGCTGTGTGCAATATATTGTCATGTGTTAGAAAGGAAATGTTAGTGGAAAGCACACTACCTTCCTCCTTCAGGGCCGCCAGAGCTTCATCCTTTTTGTCCAGCTGTTCCATCAGACGAGCAGCAGCTTCCAGTCCATCCTCTGCCTCTGAAAGACTCTCCTGCAAACAAGAGATTGAGTGACCATTTGAAATTTAATTTATAAAGATATTGCAGGTCTTTTAACTGAATATGTGCTATCTAATTAAAATGAAATTGTTTTTATACCTTTATATTTTGAAGTTCAACAATGTTTTCATAGGCAAAATCATTCCTTTTCATAAATATACCTTAGTCTGGGTTAATTCTTTCTGTAGTTGAACTTTAGAATTCTGGAGAGAAGAATTTTCCCTTAGGTAGTGCTCAACCTCGGTGGCCACTAAAGCTTCCTTTTCTGAAAAGCAAGGTGTTTTGAAAATGATAAAACAAACAAATCATCTGAAACTGTTAGTGACACTCCCACTACAATACTTTCTGCTTACTTATTGATGAAGCCAATGTTTAACCTCTTCTGATTTCAGAAAACGTCTGTACTGCTTAGAATAAATGACAAATTCTGCAAAGATTTCTTATTCCACAGTATTTAGATTCAGATAATAGTGACACAGTATATTATTTTTTTTGCTTACTTTTTTTTTCAATAATGTTCTTTGTAGAATGAAACTGACCTTGCTGAAACTGCTCGAGGACCATCTGTAGATTTGCGAGAGACATGCTGTACTGCTGACATTGGTCCTGTAAAGCAGAGATCTGTAGATAGGCTTGGTCCCGTTGTGTAGCCGCCGCCATCAGCTGCTGGTGGAGGCTGCCAACTTGTAGACTGGCTTGTTGGCTGCACAAAATTAAATATATGACATTGTACATGAAGGGTTATGTGACATAATCTACACTTGCTACATCTCCAGTTTCGGTGGGTATTCCTTACTACTGACTGTACTTACATAATTCCTTTGATTTTTTTTTCTAATGTTGTTTAACTTCTGGGGTAAAAGTTTTATGTTTCTTATCTGCATAACTTGCATAAGCCTGAGCTCACAAATTGTTTCCTGTCAAAACAAATGTTGTTCACTTATTTTACCCAAACATATTACTTGTAAAATGTCTAGAAGAGCAGCTTACCTTGCATTTTCTACTGCGGAGGATGATGAAATCAGTGATTCCTCTGCCCCTGCCAGTCGGTTCCTAAGATCTTTCTCCCTTTCCTCCGCTTCTAGAGCTTCCTTTGTGTAGCTTTCTTCCACCTAGAACATTGATTGATGTTGCAATAGGTGAGAATTTTGAAAAACAAACAAACAAAAACTGATCCATTTATTTTAAATTTCTAAATGATGTTTCATTAAATTGTCATATATGTTAACTCTCAAGCCAGTTTGAACCAGTTTAATTAGCAGTGGTGGAGGTGTTTGAATGGTACACCACAGTTACCTGTAACAAGTGTCCTTTGAGTCTCTCCAGCTCTCGCAACGCCTTAGCTTCTCTTTCCTTCTGTGACGCAGCCTGGAGAACAATAATAACATAATTTATACATAGAAGAATGTCATGTACCTAAATTGTATGATAACACCACACATATTTGTTAGATATATATTGTATGTACAACTACCTATAATGTTCTGTAAGTGTTTTTACATGCTGTATACCAATTAGTGATATGATTATAATATTACATGCTGTGTTAGTAAAGTGAGGTACCAATTATAAGGAAGGTTTAACATATAGTACACTTATATCATATCAGCTATTACATTGTCTAAGCCATTTTCATGCACTCTGAACTTAAATACTCGTCATTACAAATCCCGATGCACAATGCTGGCTTACCTCCCTTTGTAGCTGGAGTACAGACTGTTGGTGCTGGGATACGACCATCATGGCCTGGTCACGTTCAGTCTGTAGCTTCCTGGCCTGGTTCAGTGTGGCCTCATTCTCCTGCATGAGGCGGTCAACCTGTTCCTGTTGGTCAGTACCTTTCTGCTGGTCCTGTACAATAGCTGTTAGTGTCTGGCTCTTTTCCTCTAGACTTTTTAATTGAAATTCCCGTTGCTGTAGCACCAATGTTAACTGACCATTGGCATTCTTCAGGTGCTGGAGCTGGGCAGCCTGCTCATTGGAGTTCTGTTGGAGTGATGACCTCTGGGTGTTGAGGTCCTCAAGCTCGGTCTGTAGACCCTGCAACTGGAATGTCAGACTGTCTAGTTGTTTGTGGAGGCCACTGATCTCTGTGTCCTTGCAGGCAACACTCTCCTTCCACTCCACACACTGTTGGTGTAGTGACTGGATTTTACTGTCCCTATCATTCAAGACCTCTATCATCTCAAGATTTTTTTCCTGTAGAGACTTAACCTCCTCTACACGACTGTTATACGACGATAGATCTACCGTCTCTGACGCATTTGACCGCTGAAGCAACTCCCCATGTTTCACCTCAAGCTCTGTATATTTCTGCTTGTAGTTAATTAACTCATTCTGAATTTTTAACAGGGCCTGTTTCTTGTCTTCAAATTGGGGTTTCAGTTTGTCAAAGTCCTGCTGTATTAGTGTATACTTTTCAGACTCTGAGGTCATATAACTTCTGAGGCGCTGGATCTCATTGTGGTAGGCAATACTTTCTTGGTGTTTTTGGTTGAGGAAGGTGACCATTTGCTCCCTCTCTGCCTGAAGGGTGGCCAGCTGCTTACTCAGGTTATCCTTGTCCTGCATAAGGCTACTGACCTCCATTCCCCCTGCAGATGACTCCTGCAGGACCTGAAGCAGTGTCTGATTCTTCTGTGTAAGGGCCTCTACCTCCATATCCCTGTCCCTGACAAGCCTGGACAGGTTTTGTAGTGCCTCCTTGTGCATGTCTTCCAGAGGACTTTCTTTCTTCTGCATTAATTCTTGGTTGTCTGTTGTTAACTTGTCTAGAGCAACTTTCTCAGCTGATATGATGTTCATCAGGCGATGAACTTCACTCCTTTGGTTACTACATTCCCGTGACTTCTCATTCATGACTGCTAAAATCTGTTCCCTTTCCATCTTAAGTGCTCTGACCTCGTTCTCCAGCCTGTGTACATCCAGGATATTGTGTTCACCCTTGGCCGCCTTGTTATCCATCATCTTCAATAATGAGGTGTTGTTTAGCTGCAGCTCTCGTATCACTTTATCCTTCTCTTGAATAATCTGTTGCAGCTGCTCCATTTCCTCAACCACCTTACTTTCCTCACCTTCCCAATCCTCATCCCCTAAACCTCCATTCTGCATTGTCACCGTCTGTGCTGAGGACTTCACTAGAATATCCTCATTCACCTCTGTCTCACTCTTATCTGGATAGTCCTGGCTTCCATTGGCCTTAAAATCATTTTCCGTGGATGATATCTCTTTCAGCTGTCTACCGAGTTGACTGATTTCTGAGTCCTTTTCCAGTAAAGAATTTTGAAGTTCCCTGACTTTGTCATCTTGTGAAGAAACAGTCTGCCTTGAAATAGCCAATTCTTCCTCCATCTGTGTTACTTGCTCACGGCTAAATGCCGATTCATTCTCAACAAAACTTGTGACCTTAACTTGACTTTGGTATTCAGCTATTTCTAGCTCTAGTTCTGCTATCCTCTGTTTGGTTAAGGTGAGTTCAGATTCTAGATCTGTAACAACATCAATCGTACTGGAGTCTGTACTGTTACCTTTTGAATGCTTAAGGTCCTCTAATGCTGTCCTGAGGCCCCTGTTTTCCTCCTGGAGGGTGTGTAAACTCTCTTCCAGACTTTGTAGATTCCTCAGCATTAAATCTTGTTCTCTAATCTTAGCTATAGATGCTTCCTGTTCCTCCTCTAGTTGGGCTTTTTCCTGTCCAATTGCCAGGATGTTGCTTTCCTTCTCCCGGAGAAGGTCTGACAGCTGTTTATGATTGTCCAAAGCCGATTCCATTTGTTCCCTGAGGTCCTCAGCCACACCTTTCAGGTGCTCAATCTTGCCCTGTAGTTCAGTGACCTCCACATCCTTCATGTGACAGGCCTCAATAAGTCGTTGCCGCTCCACATCTAGAGAGGTCGAGTCCAGCTCTTGCTCCTTCTTTAGTTCCCTTACATACTCCTCCCAGTCTTTGATCTTGCCTTCATACGTTCCTTGTGTTATCTTAAAGTCTTTCTCTTGTGATTCCTTCTCTGACTGAAGAGCATGTATTTTCTGTTCAAACTTTGCAATTTTATCAGATGACTGTGATAATTCAGTTTCAAAGCACTCTTTATCTTTAGACAATTGCTGGGTTAAGTCTGCATTAAGTTTGGAAGATTCCTCTACTTTTGTATTTAATTCTTTAATGTGAAGCTCAAGACATTCCTTTTCTGCTGTAGTTTCCTCCTGTTTTTGTTTATATTTTTCTATGTTTGTTTTAAGGGAAGAAATTTCCTCATCTGTAACCCTCAAACGTTCCCTCAGATTATCTGATTCCGAATTTCCTCCATTCTCTTTCTGAAGAGATTCATAAGATTGCTGTAAAGAATAAAGTCTGACCTCTAGATCACTTATCTTAGTTTGTAGCTCAACTTTGGAAGTTCGGAGTGTCTTAATAGTTGCCACTTTTTCTGATATTGTTTTATCACTTTTCTTAAGACTGTCCTCCAGGTCTTTTATGTCCATATGGAGGTCATTTACGGCTAATGCTCCACTTTGTAACTTCTGTTTCATATCTTTTATTTCATTATCCTTTTTATCACAGACTTGTTCGAGTTCTGTTAAGGATTGTTTTAACCTATTCACATCATTTTCAAGAGTCAAGTTTTTATCTTTAATATCGGAAAGATCTGTATCTGACACATCTGCCTGGTCGTCCATACCCTCCCACTCCCTGAGGGACATGAGTTGTTGTTGGAGGTTGGATATCTGCTCCTCCTTCTCCTGGGTCAGCCACTGAGCCTCCTCTAACTGCACCTCTAACTTCTGAACCATCTCCTCCTTCTCCTGCACCTGACTTCGCGCCTCTTTTACCAGTTCAATTAGATCATCTTTAGCTTGGGTTAAATTTTCAACTTCTTCTGATGAACTTTCCCCTTTGACCTCTGATTGACCTTTAGCGCTGTCCAACTGTTGCTGAAGGCTTTCACTCCTTGTCTGACTTTCTTCCAGCTTTCTTTGTGTTTCTGCTAATTGCTGTGTTAGTTTTTTGGTATCTTCGACTGCACTGTTGCCTTGTACACGAGCCTGTTCCACTTGTTTGACCAGGTCATCACGTATGCGAATGAGTTGGTCCATAGCCTCTTGATTCTGGGCATCCAGCTCCTCAAGACCAGTCTCCAGTTCAGTCTTTTCTGTCTGGGCCTCTGATAATTGTCCTTCTTTTTCCTGGAGCTCAGTTTTGAGACGTGATACCTGACAAAGACTGGCATCTAGCTGTTCCTGGATAGCATTCTCACTATCCCCAGTCTTCTCAGTCTCAGCCAGACTTGTTTCCAATGCACTTTTGTCCAGTTGTAGTTGCTGTATATCCTGCTGTAAGTGTGATACTTGATCAACACTGGTGCTCAGCTCCTGTTGGGATGCAAGCACTGCCTCCTGTATCTGCTGCTGATGTTGAAGTGTCATCTCCTTTATGTGTGCCTCCAGACTTTCCTTGTCAACAGTCATCTCCGCTATCTGGTCGTCTTTGACTGCTAACATCTTCTCCATGGCAACAAGTTCATCTGGAACACAAATAAGTATAACATTTATCACAGAAAATAGAATACAGTGTACCAGTACTATAACACTTTACAAACAGCCTGTTCTAGGTTTTACTTTGGCCTAGTCTTTGTGGCATTAATACTTTTTCTGTGTGTATTTGATTAGCGTGATATGAAATTTTGTATTACATTTCAGACATTTTGAGTCAATTTCAATGACATTAAATGTAGCTTAAGGAACATGATAAAGCATTAGATAGCAAACAGTCTATCATTTGTGTAACACCTTACCTGATTTGGCACCGGTTTCCTCTTCAGACACTTCATCTTTACTGTAAGCCTGAAATAATTGAAAGCCAATTACCAACCCTGTTAACAGTGTTAAATGATAGATATATCAGTTAATGATTGTTAGTATCACTAATATTTAACTGCCACCTTATATGAAAGCCCCTATATTGCTATCAATATACACATTGTTTGACCGTGTAATAATTGTAGATTCAAACCATTTTATTGCGTAAGTAAAAGAGATGTATCTTCTTGTATTTTTTTAACACTATAACCTGTGTAAGTTGAGAGATTACTGGGTCTGAAATAGTTGGTCAGTTAATTATTGAAAATGTACTACAGATATAAGTAGTGGATAAAGAAAATCCATAACTCTGAAAGTTTAATTATTACTAGTAAGTAAAAATTAATACATCACATCTTTCAGCCTGACAAGAACACTTTTGAGGGGATATTTGTCCAAGGAAAATTGAAAAGCCGAAATGAACAGTGTTCTTACATTGATTCATATATGTATAACCAACACAACTGGTGAAACAATATCAGTTTCTAGATTGGAGACCGTTCAGGTTAAAGATGGCTGACAGGTTATATAGGGGAAATAACCAGACCAAATATTAGATCCTGTATAGGCAAGGATCTTGATTTGGACCAATTTAGACAGGTTATTTACTTCATTCAGATTTCAACATTAAAAAAACTCTTTTATATTAAAATTTTAAAATTTAATTTTTGTAAAAATAAATAAATTAAGAAGCAAAACCAGTATCCTATTTTTAACAAAGTTTTCACACAGCAGACAAAGTTAATGTTAATATTAATAGACTATGTTATAAATAAGCTGAGCTATCAACCTTTTCAGATATTAAGAGATCTCGCTCATATTCCAGCTGTGCATTAGCCTGAGTTAGTAGCTCCACTTTTTGACTAAATGACTCGAGCTCCATGGCAAGGTCAACCGAGCTATTGTCAATGTCAGAGTCACTATCTACAGGATCAGGGAGGGAGGCGTTCTCAGCACTCTACAAACGGGCAAGCATGATGTTATTACCGCACACCACACGTTAAATGAATGCAACTATATAGAATATATCAATGCATAACCATATTCCATGCTTATTATCTAGGTAAGTACAATTACATGATGCATAAGTACAAACAATAAAAGCATATTCTTTTCACCACACACATAAATGATTTATATATCTATATATTATAACCAATTATAAGTTAGTAAATATAATTTTGTACAATTCCTGTTAAACAATATACATTCAAATTCCATGCCCATTACAAGGTCTCACCATCCCATCTAACTGTAACAAGTACAGTGAAAACTGTTTGATCTGACACTGTGAGACACGATATATTGGTCAAATTAGACAGTATGATGCAAAACCCAAGTTTGATTTGGTGTTTTTATAAGACAGGAAATCCATATATTCAGATGTTAGATAAGACAGAGTGTCTCAATATTCAGAGGTCAGATTGGACAGGTTTCACTGTATATATGTACTTCTACTAATACATTCCTCATTTATCTTAAAACATATTCATAGTCCCAATGGTTTTGATAATTCAAGTTTTGGTTTTAGTCAAAAAGTGCAATGTTGAAATATTTTTTGTTTTAAAAAATGTACAGCCAAAAGCCAAACAAAATGCAAACCAATTAGTATATTTTCTCTAGAACAAGGTAAACTCTATCAGCAGAAAGAGTTTTTCATTTCATGCAAACTTCTATGAACAGGCATAATTTAAGGTCAGAAACAATTAGATAAATTGGAAGTAATTACATTTCCTAGTTGGTTAGGTTTGGTATGATCATTAAAACATTAAAGCATGCAGCTTTCTATTCTGTACTACAATACACAAACAAGCAACAGACGAGGTACAAACCTCTGCCTCAGTTTCCTCCAGCTCCTGGGCCCTCCTTCCTCTACGTTCAGCCTCGGCCAAACCCTGAAATAGTACACTCAAATATGTTACTCTGATCTCTGAGAAAAGTCTTTCCATGTAAGTTATTTAAATTAATAAGCAAATTTCTGATATTGTACTATAAAATTTCTTAATGCAGTCTATACTCAAATGTTTTATTTAATGAACTCACAATATATTCATAACAATAACAAATGCAAAAGTATTCTATTTTTCTTCCTAATGACTTAACCAATTTGAATTTGAGATAACAAATTAATTATTGAAATGTGCAAATGACTGAAGTTCAGTATAAACTACAGTGAATCACTTTATTTTTTAAGAAAGATTATTTTTCTTATTATAATTCACAAGAAGATTAGTTCATGAATTTTAACCATTTAATAATATCATTTCCTAAATGCATAGTTCATGACATAAAGTACACACAAATACAAAGGGATTTGCAGTGTAGCATTATAGGTCAGGTAGTGGTATCTCACTTTTTCAGCCTGTAGGATGTTAAGGGAGTTTTCTTTGTCCCTTAGTTCCTCCCTCAGATCCATCAACACATCCTCCATAGCCTCCTTCTCCGAATGCCAGTCAGACTTGACCATCTCAAACTGTTCAATATCCAGCTCATACTGGCTGATCTGCTTCTGTAACAGAGCCACCTGCTCATCTAGCTGTTTGTTGCGCTGTGAGAGCTCGGACATTTCCGTTGTAACAGAAAGCTGATCTTGGTCAGAAGCTGACTGCACCCCACTGTCAGATCGTTGCCTCTCCACGCTCACAGTCTGTAATGCCTTCTCCAATAGAGTTATCTGCTCTTGATGTTCTATAGCGTTCTTTTTCAGAATCAAGTTTTCCTGCTCCATGGAGTCAATGATACCTGTCAGATAAGAAATTCTCATTAACTTCCTGTTCCAGCTCTATATCAGGTGTCATACATCTTTGACTCCATTTCATAAATTCAGTGTTTTTCCATTGCCTAACTATGGCAAAGGCAATTCTTTTAGCGAAACATATTTAAACATGAAATTTACAATCAAATTTACCAAGTTGTATATGTATGTACCTGCTGTGAGTTTTTGATGCTCTGTGTTACCCAAGTCTGTAAGTATCTCATTGGTTTCTGTGGTGACGGCGTCTTGTTCCTCTTGTAGAACTGCCACACAGTCCTTCAGGTTACGCTGCTATAAACCAAACATGGATAATACTCAAATGTCATGAAGGTTTATTTTCAAACGGATACAATTATGTTAACCTCCTTTTAACAACATTAGTTGACATAAATGACTACATCTCCAACATTCTTGCCATTCCAACATTTCACACACAGAATCACACGCATACCCAGCCAGTTTTACAGTGGCTTTCAAGCTTAATTCTGCTGGCAACTGAGAAGGAAAATCACACTGCAATCGACCATATCTTGCAATTTTAAAACTGTACATCTTCACTCAATCTTTCCACCCAATATCTCCAGGAGTCTGCCTTAACATAACCAGGTAGGACAAGTGTAGTTTACATAGGTGGGAAGGCTAACCTTGTTGCCAGATTGTATGATCTGATTGACCAACTCCTGTTTTTCCTTGGCCACTCTCTGCCTGTGTGTCCTTGCCTCAGAACCCATGACCCTTCTGACCTCCTGCAGATCTCCTAGCAAATCTAGTGCCTGAGCCTACCAGTGTAGAATTGCATACAAAAGCACATCCAGAGATATTCTATTCATAAGTTTGTGGAATTTCTCAATTTCATCTTGAACAAAATTGTTTTTATAAAGTTATTTTCAAAACTAATATATTTTTTCTATTATTGTTTAAAACTTTAAAAAAACCCATTAAATGCTATATTGAATTAGTTTAATGACGCAAACAAATTTATTATTGTAAATTTATGCTCATCGGTTTCCAATGAAAAAATTGCTATTCAATAAGCACTCGTCAAGCAAAAAACAGAAAAAAAACATGCAGCGATTGCATTCAGGAGTTAGGGGCAAACTCATTTCATTGGCACTGATGGGTCTTGGCAAAGCACATTCTACAGACTGTATGGGACAAACGAACACTAACATTATCAGACAGTCTCAACTAACATACACATTTTACATGCTCTTTATTTTTACAACACGTACACACTGATTGTAACATTCTTTATCTATTACTACAGACATACTACATGGTCTCATTACCCAGTTCTATAAATGTATATCACATGAAAAGGTATAAATACACTTCTTTCATGTTCTGTCATTTCAAAGCTTCATGCTCTAGCAAAACAAATGTGACAAAAATAGAAAATATAATGAAAACTGTTAGTAAGTACCAAAATGGAGAGAGTTGGATGCAATGACTGCACATGCAAAACCAGGCCAAAGTAAATCATGCGTGGTATAAAAGAAGGCATATTTAACTTTTTAACACTTTAATAAAACATGGTTGTGGATTTAAACTGTGCAAAATTTCCTGCATAACAGGGAATTATTCTATGAGGAAAAATTAAAGCAAAAAGAAAAACTTTGGGTTATAATCAAAAAGCATAGCAGTGATATAGCAAACCAAAAGTAACTTATATAAGGGAGATAACTCTATATTATGCTATTATATTTTGGTATGTACATGGTTTGCATCCAACTGGTCCAGAAGATGGTATTTAGTGCTATGCAAACTGCTGCACACCTTCTCATATTCCTTCCTTAGAGCTGCAACCTCAGCCTCTCGGTCTGAAAAAAACAAAACATTATGAGAATTAGATGTCAAGTACATGTATTCACTCAAATAAAGAAATGGCATTGGTTTTAGTTAGGAAATTCATAATAGAGAGAACTTGATTGGTATTTTTCTTTGATATTTGGGGGAAAAAAGAGAGAAATATACAGTTACTAAAGAGAAAAATACCACTGATTCTGTACCAGGTATTAGTAATACATGTACACGTTTTCCTGTTTCCAACAACAATGTACCTTGGAGTGTTTTCTGCACCTGTGCAACATCTTTCTCTCGATTTGTCTGTGATGATTCCAGATCATCCCCCAACTGCTTCACTTGGATGGTCAGTCTCTCAATCTGGGCCAGGTGATCTACCCTCTCCTCTTCCAAATTCTCTACCTGTGTCTTCAGGGATGCAGCATCCTTTTTATAGGAACAAGAAATGTTATCAATCAAATACCTCAATTTCTCTTTAACTTTCAGTATTGTTGATGCCAGGTAGCATCAACAGAATCAGCTCTCTGACCCCAGTTGTTGCAAGACATGAATGAAACTATATGTGTTTTAATCACTTCAGAACCACACTTAAATAGAGTACATCTCTGTATGACATATTACAGGTGTAAATATCTCACTCCAATAATTCATAGGCTGATTAAAAGTAAATCATAATATGGCCTAATGGAAAATTTGAAATTGAAACCATATGACTAAATAATCCCCTATTAAAAAACATTTTCAAATTTTTAGTTTCTGTAGATATTTTTAGAAAGATGGTATATATATTCTCTGACTGATAAATTTGTAAGTCCAACCCATATGACTGTTTCTTGCAAAACGAAATAGCGGCTATCAGGACAGGTGCAAATTATTACTGACTCACCTGAGATAAATTTTCAGGAGATATTGATTGATCTGTTACGGAACTTTCACCTAAAATAAAGGGAAGACATGGTCACATGGGCATACTGTATCATGTTTATGAAATACACATTGACATTGTAGTTTTCAGTATGTAACTGTAAAATTTAACAATTTTCTTTTTTTTACAGAAATGCTCAAATGTATTGTATATACTTAGCAGATTTTAAACAGGTGTTATTGGATTGATTCAAAACACTTTCAAGAACTTATAAATATTTAAACAAATGCAAAACTTTCTATAGAATCAGGCAGAGTCTTACATGACTGAAGTTGTTTCCGAAGGTCCAGAATGGTGTCTTCCTTCTCCATGACCTCTGTCTTGAACTTCTTTCGAAGGTCGTTGAGTTTCTGTTTGTATACATCCTGCATACAGGCCACTTCCTGTTGTTGTTGCTCTTTGCCATGTCGCAGCTGTTCTTCTAACTCCTACAACATATACAGGTAGCATGGTGTTAACATTTACATTTCATGTCTTATTTAAACTCAACAAACACAGGTAGCATAGTGCCAGCATTATTTTATGTCTTGTTCAAACTCCTACAACATATTTCCTCACCCCCCCTTCTATGTCATACGTTTATGAAGAATGTACTTTAAAGCAGGGTCCATTTAACAAAATCTTAACCTTGTGGATAACTGCCTTATGTATCTAAGTAGAATGAAGCATATATTTTTTTATTTGAAAAAAGCTCGACTATATGCACCATTGATGCTAGCTGTTTGGTTATGAAATAAGATTTCCACAAAGAAACTATTACAATGGATGTAAGAAAACTTTTTAATTCCATTAATGCTTGTTTAAGCATAGTAAGTAAAGTGGAAAACAGGTCAGAACTTTAATATAAATATTTTATTTGACTTCCATGCAACAATATTTGATCTCTCAGACTACAACTTAACAACTGGAAATTTTGGCAAAAACAGTTATTTGTCCAAAAAGGTAAACATTTTGAATATTTTTTTTGTTTTTTTTTAACTGCATTGCACTAAGTTGGGACCTCAATGCTAATACATACAAGCATGCTAGTACATATACTGAAGGTCATATTAATTTATTTCAACACTTGCACCAAATCCTTAGCCGATGCCTATGCCAGGAGAAGAGGGGAATGGGTTAGGTGGCAGGTAGAAGGGGGGAATGGGTTAGGTGGCAGGTAGAAGGGGGGATTGGGTTAGGTGGCAGGTAAAAGGGGGGAATGGGTTAGGTGGCAGATATAAGTGGGGAATGGGTTAGGTGGCAGGTAGAAGGGGGAATGGGGTTAGGTGGCAGGTAGAAGTGGGGAATGGGTTAGGAGGCAGGTAGAAGGGGGGAATGGGTTATGTGGCAGGTAGAAGGGGGGAATGGGTTTAGGTTGCAGGTAGAAGGGGGAATGGGTTTAGGTGGCAGGTAGAAGGGGGAATGGGTTTAGGTGGCAGTTAGAAGGGGGGAACGGGTTAAGTGGCAGGTAGAAGGGGGAATGGGTTAGGGGGGAGGGAGAAGGGGGAAATGGGTTTAGGTGGCAGTTAGAAGGGGGGAACGGGTTAAGTGGCAGGTAGAAGGGGGAATGGGTTTAGGGGGCAGGTAGAAGGGGGAAATGGGTTTAGGTGGCAGTTAGAAGGGGGGAACGGGTTAAGTGGCAGGTAGAAGGGGGAATGGGCTTAGGTGGCAGGTAGAAGGGGGGAATGGGTTTAGGTGGCAGGTAGAAGGGGGAATGGGTTAGGTGGCAGGTAGAAGGCAACAACATCACAACCAGTAATTTCTCTACCTCCATTCGATAGGTGGCCGTGACTGGGAAAATAACACGCACAAAAAGCATGAATTTTGGAAGTTTAAGTGAATTTTGCATAGATTTTGGGAATATAACGCAGAAGTTGATGTGGGAGAGGGACCTTTATAATGGCCCCAAATTTACTCTAAACAAATTAAATTTAATGCTCGGCCATGTAGTAGCATCAAAACATGAAACAGAAAATGATCAAGAACTGAGAAATTAGATCAATCAGAGTCAACTAAGAGGCTACCTGTTTGTATGAGGAACAGTATGAATTAGTCTGCAAGTACTTTAATCAAATACACAGCTTTACTAAAATTGAAAACCATGGAATATGTTTCGTTTGATAACATTTCTACGAATGTAAATGAATTTCTGAGATATGACTGAAAAGTGAAACTGATTTCAAATTCAGTGAGTCATCATATGTGCTTGATATGCACATGTACAAATTCTCGCACTTCTCTATGCTGTAGAAAATTGCTCTGCTGGTAATAACTACTAACCGCCTGCCATAACAATAGGGAAGCTATTTACACTCACATCAATATCACATACATGGATCTGAAACAAATTGTATCATGCTATATATAGCCAATACCTATAGCAACAATCCAATATGATTAACATATACCTTCCACGTTTAACTACCTGTATTTTATTTTTTTAATTTGTACCGATTTACCTGGAAAACTTAAAAGCTAGAGACCCAGCATTACTCCATGAAAAAGCAATTTAAAAAAAAAAAAAAAATATGAAATATCTATTGAATGATATTTTGCATTACATAATATACTTTTGTGCAGTTTAAAATGAAGTTTTCTATATTCTGTGATACACAAATAATGCTAATGACTACCAACCTTTAACTGCTTTTTCAGTTCCAGCACATCAGAGGTTGCTCCATTCAAATTCTGCTGACCTTGCTTTTCTGAATTCTGAAAATTAAAATTCAATAATGTATCCCTTGATAAAGAGTATTGATATTAAAGTGTTTTACACTCAAGATCAGCTGTCTTCGCTTTGTGGGACACCTATTCACCAGCCGGCACACACAAAGAGCTGCACAGCCTTTAAATGGTGGACGATTCACTGCCGATTACAGACATTACAACCATGCTCAAACATTAACAGTAATCAATTACAAACCCTACACACTCCACATGGCTGACACACTGTGGTCGCTAATATCACAGATGGCATTTCTGTCCTCAACCTGATTCTGAGCTGTGAACCTGAAAATTATCCAATGAGGCGACAAAAATTTACCTGTATCTGAACCACGTCATATAATTAACATTCGCACCGATGTTCTGTATATATCTAGGACTAATACTAAACATATATGTTACAGTGTGACCACCTGAAACTGAAGTCCTACACTGTCACAGCTGATGAATAGAAAGCCGGCTCTGCAGTGAATAGCATCCTGAAATCTGATCCAACTCAATCACTGTATGTCGTCAAGTGTTATTTAAATCCAAGGTAAATGAGTTTGAGTCAAAAACCAGAACTATACATTCAAGTAGCGTCGGTTGTGAATAAAAACAGCCACACAGTTTGAATATTCTGATTGCGGTTTTTTGAATGCCTTAAAAGTGTATAGCCTTACTTACACCAGTGCAGGTAAATGTACTACTATACACAGTGACTAGTGTATAACCCCTGGTAACACGAGGCTGTAACAGCTGATGGGCTAACCACGGCCCAGCGACCAACCCCAGGGACAGACAGGTACTGCACACACCAACGCACGGCCACTCTTACCTGTGTATTATTACCTGGACGCTTACCTGTATGATCTGATGAGTCACCCTCTTTATCAATAAGCCACCCAGCCCAAGCTTTCTTACTTTTTGACAAGAACAGATTTATAATACTCTGATAAAACAACATCAACTCCATGCATGCTTCTTTTATCTAGAATATACACGTTACCTTTGAATGTGTCTGTTACTTGGATACTGAACAGGAAATTGAATATTTAATCAAACTACAACTGAATTGGGGGAAAAAAGAAGTTAAAACTACCCTGAGAAAGACATTACGTATTTTCGTGTAAGGGCACTTACAGGTAGAACATGATAAAGGCCCTAATCCAGTTATGTATTCAACGTCATACCTAGGTGCATGAGGTATGCCCAGCCCATCCCCTATACCAGGATCAAACCTGAATTAAGCACGATCACTATGGTGAGAACCTGGGGCCAGTTTTCCCTGTAGCTCTCCATCTTGTACCTCTCAAACACTGATCAGTAATTTAATACTTAAATCTTGTATAAAAAAAAAAAATCCATAATACAAATAGGATTTCTCAGTTTTCATTATTACCAAAAAGGGAGGCATATACACCTTGTACTTAGCTTAGCTTTGAATTTCAGATACATTAACACCTGTGTAATGGGCGAGTCTCTTCCAGAAGAATTAAGGCAAATACCTCTTACTATCATGTGCAATTTGTCAGTGGAGGATGAGATATAAAGTATAATGCGACATTAACAGAAATATTGTATTCTTTAAAAAGGTAAAAAAAAAAATCCACATGACATAAAATAAAATAAATTATATACAATTTAAAAAGAGAACAAAATTGTGTTTTATGAAAACACGATAACAGAAATGTGGCATGAATGATATTAAGTGGGATCCACTGTAATGCTATTTACAATGCTTGAATACATATGAAACTATGTTAATTAGCAGCACCATCAACCCCTTTAGCATTTAAATGGCTACTTCAAGCATGATCTTAAAGCTTTTAACAATATTTAAATATTTCCAAACCAGATCAATACACAGACAGTGGATATAATAATTAATTCAAGGTGAAATAAGAAATTAATGCCTGATTCTAACACTCATGTTTAATAGTTGGATGAAAGATTCAATGTGATAGTTTGAATACTTGCCAACTACTTTGGAGGGAGACTCCCTGATTTTGGACCTTAATATTGAGCATTTTCAACCAGTGAATTTGCTAAATTATTCCTATTTCTATGATCTGACGATTTCTTCAGAAAGAATAGCTAAAAATATGCAATTCAAACATACACAAATTTTATTTATGCTTTTAAGTCTGACCACACGAGATCTCCCCCATGGAAATTTCAAAAAGTTGGCTAGTTTGTGTTAAACTCATATTACCCATCAACTCTTGTCTAAAATGATTAAATGATTACGGTAACTCGATAATTATTTTCAATTTAACATGAATAACTTCACACTTTTTCTAAATATTTATAACTAATTATAAATGATAATGAAAACTTGCTATCTGCTTGAAATGTGAGGTAAAAGTTCTCTTAATTTGTGTGCTCAGTGTTAGTTAATTACACATCCATTAATTGTCCATTACAAGCTAAAACTGTGCATATATATCCTGTCCTGCCTGGAGATCTGTGATAACTCCCTTGCTAAACAGCCTGTGTGATCTACTAAGTACATTTAACATGATGACTAAGTCATCACGTATAACTGTCAACCTTTGAAACCGTAAAACGTATTAATTTTGAATATTTTCACCGTTTGCTTTTCCTGTCTGTGGCCGGTGTGTCTGCTTGTAATTACACTGACTACACGGAGTCATCAAAGCAGGGATTTCTGCCCCTGAAACAATACATGGCCCTGTGACTGAGCACTGTGAGGCTCTTACACAATAATATGTACACCTGACAGTGATTGATGGAAGGCAAATATAGTTAATCACCTCAGAACAGACCTACACACACTCTAAATTTACACAACATGATGCACATCCTCCTATACCAGGGACAGCCATGGAGCGGCCTGCCAGTAGATCATATACAAGTTTTTTGTACCGACCTGATCAAACTACCTGTGAGCGTGGCACTGTACTGGGATGGTCTGTTTGCCTAGAGATTACACATCCTGTTTGGTCCCCGAAATAAATGACAAGTAATGCAGACAAATGTCAACACATACCACGAGTGCTCCACTTGGTTTTGGCGGGATTTCGCTTGAGATTTTCGCTCACCTGACAAGTCCTTTAAACGTAGACTGCCTCAGTCTAAATATGGGCAGGCAGGAGAAGGAGATATGAGGGACGCATGACCTTTGATCTATGATAGCGGTACCCAGGAGTACCCAGAACCAGGAGCACCCAGAACCGGTGTGTGGAGGTCTTGTCAGATTCAAACCTCTTAATGCGTTTGTGGCAGTACTGATAACCTCAGGAGGGAAAACTGGGCAGTGTATAATGAGAGATTCCTGTGCTCCTAGGTAACAGGAAACTTGGTGTGATAAAGGGCTTCAAACTTGAGGTAACAAGCCCTTATCTGGCACAGCCTTCTTAAAATGCTGGGCTTGAGTCACCTTATCTGTAGATAAGAACGCTTACAACTCTGACAAGGAAGACCCAGTGAAACAATGGCTAACCCAGCTAATAAAGTCCAGTATCTTAAATATATAATGTCCAGGAGAGATATTAAATAAAATTCAAACAATCTAAGAATGCCTTAATTCAAACAGGCCTTCTCTACTTCAGTTTCAATTTCAATCATGACTGAAAGTGTCAAGATGACAGAAATCCAAGTAAAACGAAGAAGCACATTCTACATGAATCTGAAACTTAAATAAACTCTTCAGTAAAAAAAAAATCTGTAATGAATAGTGCTTGTTCTATATATCAAAACTTGGTGGTAAAGTTACCTAGTCATGAAAGCTGACATGTAATGGTATTTTAAATTGTAGTGATTTAATTCTAAAACGTTAAACTTAGATAAAAAAGATTGTATAACAATGCAAAAATTTGAGCAAATAAGTAACTCTACTTCTAGTCACCCACAGGTAAAACTATGTACACTAGTACGACGAGGATCCAACTTGCCACATCAAATTCATATCTGTTTTTGAACCAATTTTAATTAGTAAAGAATGCAAACTTGAAAAAAAGACACTGGAATCATACAAACCCTCAGTAATAAAATGTTTGCTTATTAAAACAAATCATAGCTATCAGCACCAACCAATGTCCCGTTAATGGGTCTGACAAAGGCAGAATACCATAGCTAGACAGTATTGTGAAATGCATTAGTGAGTATTGTGAAATAGTCTTTTGCAATAGTATTACAGGTTAAGGCAGGGTCGTTACCTGATAGCATGGTACATCCGGAGCGGGCCGCGGTTGTCTCTAGATGGCCTGGGTTACAGATTATTAAACCTACCCTGTTGTCAGGAGGTATCGTTTGAGGCCAACATTACGACTGCCACTCTGGCACACAGAATGTCCAACCTACTGTAGATAGCACCTCTCTGTGAAATGTTCCACAAACCCAGTGTTTGTACATACTTAGCCATGACCTCCCCATAACAATGCCTATCACAACCTCTGATAACACTTCTCAGCCATAAATGGTTTACAAATGCAAACACCATTAAGTGGTAGTCACGGAGAAAATAGCAACATCTAGTCACATTATATACAGTATATTTTATTGAATTTTCCACACATTAGTTTCACATTTCATACACAATGGTGTTTTTTAAATATGATTAATTCCACTCTTTTCTTTCATCTTATATAAAAACTCTTCAAAAATCAACAGGCTGCATCTTTAAGCAAACTAACGTGGACTTTTATAAAGGATATCCAGATAAGGTCTAGCATAAATCGGGATAGTAGATATATATGCGTATTATACAGCATAGGTAATATAGCCAGCCAACTAGTAATGCATGTGTGCAAAAATGGCCAATACAGTCCGTATTTTTATATAATAAATGCTTAAGCGTCTAGCTCAGTTGACAAGGTTTGCCAACACTGTAATCGATTCAGCATACACTCTTCATTGAGTGTTATAATTGATAAAACTATTTAAACAGAAATGACAAACAGCCTTGAGCCACAGATGGACCAATGATGATCCTCCACACAGACAGCTTTAAATACTTCGGCAAACAAAGCTGTGGCCAACAAAACAGGGATTGTAAACGGCTATTTACCTTAACTATTGTGATCATTGTTTTCAGTTTAAAAGAAATCGAAATGTTGAGAAAAAAAATACAAACTGATGAATGCCAAGTCAGTATGAGTCGAGATTATAAAGTATACCCTGGCACCTCTTGGATTCATTGAAGCATGAAATATATTCAAATGGCTGTGCCTTGGAATGAACTGGTCTATTTGTAGATGTCTTCATCTGTAAGAGCATTATTGACTGACCTTTGTGTATACCGACTGTATACTGAGTACATCTGAAATACTTTTGTTACCAGCAACCTTAAATGGCCTATTTGAAGCGGTCTACATGAATCTGAAACAGTTGTACATGTCCTCAGCAGGACCGTCTTTATACTAACCTGCCTTGTTTGATTAAAGCTTGTTAATTCATGCAGAAAGTCTTACACCAGTCATAAACTTACAGGTGTAACAGAAGTCTAAATCTCACTCTGTGTCAGTGACCTTTAAAGTTACATTTCAACACTCACATCCTCAGGAACTCCATCCTGATCCGTATACAAGCTTATTAATGAGATGCCACAGAAATGTATTACCTTTTCCCATTCAGAATTTAGACATACTAAGTGAATATGCAACTCTTTTGTAGCAACAAAAACCTGTTTTGAATTTCCACAACAGCTTCATGGGACATCCATTACATTTGTGTTTGATATTCATAGAAAAGGATTATATGACAGCATTCAAAAATCTACCACCTTTCTCTCTGCAACCTTGCCCTTTGACCACGAGTAAACACCGGACTACTCCCTAGCCATACTGGATGAGATCTGGTACTGACTCGGCTTAATGACTGTCTGGTTGTACATTATTAATGACGTTCTTGTAATCTCACACTCTGTAAAACGGGTTATAATGTAAATTTGTACATAACGTACCGGGTACACATTCAAATGAGTGAACTACAACAAACAACCCACAAGGTGAACACAGTCAAACATAGCTTGAGTAACCACACACTTGTCACGTTCCCTCCAGGAGAAAGAGTTTTATACAAACATTTAACCGTCATCAATTTAATACTGTTTTTTCCCCGAAGTTGATTCAAACACTCCTAGGAATAGCTATAAAATTGGTATGTGTATGGTGTCATTATTTAGTAGTTAAGCAAGAAATCTTTAACATGTATATGAATATCGACATTACAGCAAAGTACAGGTCTGCTAATTCAACAGCAAGTACGTCCTACACACAATGAACATGCCCTTGCATATTTTGAAGGGTGTGGGTACTTAAATTAAGACAAGTAGGAATTGAAAATAAGGAGACTTACATTGGATTGTGCTACTGATTTCCAGTGCTGACATTCAGACCGTAGACGTTGGGCTTCTTGTGTCAGGCGGTTAATCTCATGCTGCATGCCAATATTGTCTCCAAAGTCAAGGTCATCCGACACAAAACTGCCATGGTACCCTGCCAGGTAAAAACCAAAAGTCAAACTCATGTGGGGAAAAGCTAATAAAACATCATTAATGGCTTAAAAATCAAATGGATCAGATTTTCTCTGGATATCCCTCCAGCAAACATGGAGACCATAATTACGTATATTTTACTGATCAGATCAAACAAACCCTGGTAATTACTATAATCACACTGCATGCAATAGACTTTAATACCTCTGGTGATTCTCCTATCCTCGATATCTGTAGAAGATAAAACTTCCTGTTAAGGAGAAGGTACAAGTACATGTCAACCCCTCCTATACCGTATAGACTGGGCACACACATCCTTATAAAGAATAGATGGCCTATAGTCTGGCCTGCTCTGTACTTGATAGTTGATAAGTACTGTGGATATTATGGATCTTCATTTATTACCCTAGATTGTTGACTTTGGCATACCTGGGAAAAAGGATTGTAAATTATTCAAGTCTAGTACTGTATTCTCTCCATGTGTTGAATGAGACCAGTGAGGCTAATATCTGACAACAATTGCTGTCCACCCGAGGAAATATTCCTATTTATTTTTAATCATAATTTTATAGCATATTTAGCTAGTTGCTACAACAAACCCTGTTTCAGATCCACTTTTAATCATAACTTCTTCTTCTAGATCAAGTATTTGACCTTTGCCTATAAGAGACAAAAAATTCAGTACTTAATGAACTTTCCAGAATACAGTACTCATAAATATGTTAACTTGTGTGTACGTGTGGGTGGATGTGGCTGTGCACTGTACAGGAGCACTGAGCCAAAAAACTTCCCGTTTCAGTCCCAACTACAGGATTCACAGTTCTGTCAAAGAGCCCTGTAATTTTTAATATCATGTGTTCATGGTGAAAAGGACATAAGGTCATATCAAAAAAAAGTGCACATTGCTCAAAGATGTTCGACTTGAGGACAAGATTTTCTTTTAGCCATGCACTGAAACTGACAGATCTTGCAAGACTGTTTAAATTTTTGTCTCAAACATCATCGTGTATGGCTAAATTCCACTCAATTATAAGTATATTGGTATGCTCTCTATTGAAAGTGAAAACTTAATAGATTTTAGAATTAATTTAATTGGACTATTCATTTCCATTGTTATCCTTATATTGTGAAATTGTACATATCATATCACAAATTTCTTTAATATCAAGATATACACTTGGGTAATCTCATTAAACTCTTCCATCATAAACTTGCAGTGAAACATTATAACATTTGATTTAATTACTCAGTATTTACCTGTACCTGAACACATGTATCTAAGTTAGATCAGGTGAGCTTAAATTGATTACATTTAATCCTTTCACCGTTGTAGACTACAATGGACTCGTCCCGATGAATGCATGGTAGAGTCTACTGAAGTTACCTTGGGATAAAAGGGTTAACAAACCAAGAAATTCTTTTGAAAGAAGTACTGCATTACATAATTCTAACACAATTTATTTTTTCTTGAAATTGCCAATCAAATTTCAAGTATGTAACAATTAAAAATTTAAATGCAACAAGTGTCATTGTCTGGAAAATACATTAGAGAAAAGATAGAAATGCTGACAGTCAGAATGCATATATGGCTCTATGCAGAAAAACCAGGAACAAGATTGTGCTTCATTCTGTCAAGATATGAAAGTGGTGACGTAGCATCTGGTGATTCATTCATGAAAGAGAAATGAAACCTGTTGTTTTTTCTTTTTAAATATCACTTATCAACTATTCATCAATATATTACATAATCCCTGAAAAGAGGTTTGTAGAAAGCCTGAAACGGGTACCAGGATGCAGTATCTTTTATTGATTGTATGATACAAACTAAATTTGAGAGTGGTAATTATCTGCTCAAAGTTAATCTTTGATAACGTTCACTTTACAGTCTGAACTGAACGCACATATTACACAGGAAGAAATAAGATCTTGCCTTTATATATCTACAATTCAATTCAGGAAAAGTTTTAAGATTGCCAAGTCTGGACGGGATATGAAGATTCAGTTCACCGCCATAACACCTGAACGCTAAGGTATTATATCACACTAGAAGTAAACGACTTGCCCAAATTTGAATAAAACTAAGCAGCACCCGAGCCGATACAAGGTATGACATAATCGAGATATATGATAGTCTGGCGGTCAAACAATAGTCCTGATCAAATAAAGCTTGTTGGTGGCGGTACCTCTAGTTTGTGTTGACTTAATGTGATAAATTGTCACTTGTAGTTGCACATATTACAAAAGGCTTGTTTGTTTCTGCTCATGATAACTCATAAAGATACACTTAAAATCCTTAGATCTTTTATCAAGTATTTTACATCTGTAGATTTAATCTGTTTCAATGATAAATGATAAATCGTAACTGTTGTAGCTACTATGGGGTGACAATCTGTATAGGAAATAATATTTTACCTTAACTTTGGGGTTTCTGTATGAGAATGTGATAAAATTTACTCAGAACAGGTTATATTTGTGGACAGATGAATCATCAATACAAAACACTTGAATAACTTCTAAATAAATATATCTTAAATCAAACAAAAAACGAAGCATATGAAGTCTACCTTTTAAAAATCAATATGTTCTATGGTCTACAACTGGTAAAGGGAAGTAACTCCAGCAATACCAATGTAATGACTTTTTAGCACTAATGTAAGATCCAGATCATACACAATTAATATTTACATTAATTTAACAACAGATATGTGGTGAATTTGGCCTTTATCAATTTGCTTGATTCTTCTGTAATGTGATACAGACAAGAAGATGAAATGTAAGATCAAGGTGGCAATTTTTTTATTTCTTATTGGCCTAAAAAAATAGAAATAACAACCTACTAACCTTTTTTATTATACCTAATTGAATCCCCTGCCCCATGGATGCTCCCAGTGATTTTTCTACCTCAGAGGCTTGTGTCTTAGGACATTGGGAAAAAGCATAATGTTGGGAAAATAAAGTGATTTTCACATTGATTTTGGGAAAATGCAGCAGAAATTATCTGTTATCTAGGGGAAAGGCCTTTAAGGCCCCAAATTCACTCAAATAAAATATCTGGCTACAAACAAGTTTAAGACATTCTTGACTAATAGGCTTTCAAAGGAAAGGCTAATGACTCCTACGTCATCAACCTTACTTGGCCCTTATGAAAAGTTTATCTAAAATCCATTACAATTTATGAATTATTCAATAAAAATTAATAGGTTGTGAAAAATATACAACTTTCAAAAGAGTTTATGTAAGGCGACACTTGCCAGATTATAACTTAAGTTATTTAAAAAAGAAATATTAAGCATATGAAGTCAGTAGACATCTTTGGACTTTCGACCCAAGATAGCGTTTTAGGCGGGAAGAGCGCCACACCGGCAAGGCAACATACAAACAGTGTCTACTGAAGTGACACTGAACACATGACTCAAACACACAAGTGGGGTGGCTTAAGCATAATTAAGTTATAAATTGTAGTCTGTATTAACTAAAGCCTGTGTAACCATAGCAACCTGGCCAAATGAAAATCTTGGTCTTATCAGTGTTTTTGATGTTTATAAATACCTGCATTACATAAATTAGTGATAAGGGCCCTTCCTTGGTAGAAGCTGGTGTTTTATCTTAAGTCAACAAAACTATGACTTGGCGTCTCAACTGTCTGAACAGGTAAAACCAATCAACAGGTGTACAACTCAATAGAAATTGTTCTTTTTAGTTTCAAATTTTAGTTTCAGTTAATAAAGAATGTGATGTGATATCTAACAAAAACCTTCATTTACAAAGTAAAATCGCCCTCAACCCATCCCCAAACAATTGTTCTATTAAACTCTCCCACAAATTTTGGTTGTAAGAGCCTGTTGCAAGCACATTTTCAGCCATACATTGTATGTATATGTATCTAGGGTGAGACTTCAACATCTTGTATAATGGATATTTGATTTCTTTCAACATTTACATTTGACATGTCATTTTTGTGCTTATATTGTCCACGCTATATTTTTAGCTTTAAGTCTAATCTTTGAGTAAGTTATTTGTACAGCCTTTTTGCCCGTAAAATCAAAGATGAATTTAAGTGTGTTACATGTATTCAAAAATGAATAAGATGAATTGATATTTGAATAAGTTGAAAACAACGCATTTACTTATAAGGAAGGTATACACTTATCTTGCTTTAAATATATCAAAAAACAAATATAACTGAAATATTAATTTCAAGTTAAAAGCAACATGTATATTCAATTTTTCAATTGGCTCTGGCTGTCCCTGGGACTGTGTTTGTTCAACTGAATTACTCCCTGGATCTGGTAGGTATAAGTGTACGAGGCCATATCCTGCCGTTATCTCTGTGTTCTGTGGGTGGCCGAGATACACCCAGGGTATACAAGGTGACATTGAAGCCAAGACAAACAGTATGCTGTGACACAACCCACCAAACCAACACTACAGACCACAAACTACCACTACATAGCTCCAACGGCACTTAAGCATTTTAATGGTGTCAGCAAAATCTAATTTCCAGTCAGACATTTATAATCTATGTTGTTGACAGTTCAAATCTGAGGGATGGAATTTCATACACTGACATCTTGAGCATTCTGTATCAGTATATTTCAACCAGTATTAATTTTGCATTGTCGGAATGCTTGCTTCTTTTATACTAACTTACTTTCTTTTCATCTAACCATGATTTTAAGACTCTGTAAGATCTTCTTGTGCTGATTGGACATTTGAAAAAAAAAATGTCGATCACAAAGAAATACTAAATCAATAGCAGAGTCTGCATCATTGCTTAGTTCAATGTCAATGTTTCTGGAGTTTTGTATTCTCAAAAATATAATTTGACAGGACTGCAATTTTTGTTGTTTTGCAATATTAGATCATGAACCCATTTCAAAACCCTGATTTTCTCCTCATGATCAGGTACCCGTTTTAAAATGCCTAACAGGATTGCAAAATGTATGAACTAAGTATGAGAAAAACCCTTCTAACAAATCACCTATCAAGTGATCAACTGAACCATTCCATTCGGTCAATGGCAATCAATCTATTCCATGTATAAGATGAAAAAACTATATGTATGAGTAAATCTTTACATTTGTGGAATGGTTCTTGAAAACTAACTCTAAAGGATGGGTGCTGACTTTAATGCTTCTGTGGGTTACACATTTTACAGAAATTAAGTCTGGGGTTAAGTAATCATGAAATGGGGTTTTCTCTTTTGATCAATTAGTCCCTGCATAGAAAATTAAGGGGTTAAAGTTGAAAAGGGAAAATGATAGTATTTTCTTTATTTAGATTATCATAGAATTATAATAAATTTGTTATTTAGTAACAATATGTTATGTAATATTTTGTGGGTAAAGATGCATAGCACAAGGTGCTCCACTTACTACATTCTCTTTTTCAATATTTTAAAAATGCTGTTTTAAATTTTACCAATAGAATTTAAAATGGGGTCAGGTCCTCCACTTTCTGCCATTTTCTTTTTCAATTTTTAAAAATGCTGTTTTAAACTTTACCAATAGAATTTAAAATGGGGTAAGCTGCATAGCACAAGGTGCTCCACTTTCTTCCATTTTCTTTTTCAATATTTTAAAAATGCTGTTTTAAACTTTACCAATCGAATTAAAAATGGGGTAAGATCCATAGCATAAGGTGCTCCACTTTCTGCCTTTTTATTTTTCAAAATAAAAAAAATATGCTGCCAATAGAATTTGAAATAATGAAATGCATATTATCAAGTAAAATACATACAGTTGTTACTACAATAAAAATGTTTTTAAAATAGGAGCTCTAGTTCTTTTATCATCGAAATAAAATACCATATTTTACCCTTATACAGGAACTGAATGATTAAAAAAAGAAACCCCATTTCAGAATGACCTAACCCAGCAAAATAAATCAATGTTATTCATGTTATCCAATATGGCCTACTGAGGTATTAAAATGGGCACCCCTCCTCTACAATGATTTTTTGGTGATCCCAAAATGTTTTAAACTATAGTCAAGTTCATATGAACTTAATATTTTCAGACAGGGTCATCCGGTTTTTATCTAGACCATGACCTTTTATGTCCAAACCTGGTCAATGTATAAATCAATAAAGACCCCAACATGTATACCTTAAGTAAATAAACAGTTTACCAACACACACAGTCAAGTACCAGGTATATAAAATGGTTTCCAAGTGTTCTTTAAAGAAAAAGAACTTGACATTTGGTTTAATTCTATAAATCATTTTGGCAGAGGATGTCATCTCAACATTAGCAGCTCCCACTGTTGTTTAATATTTAAATAATTAATTGATAAGGAAATTTTCCTAATGAATTTCCAGTTAATATCTGCCATGTTGGGTTGACCATATGTTACTTGTCGGAGCTGACTTCCGATGCGAGCCCAGTGTGTCGCCAGTCTCTCTGACACAGAGACGGGTGGAGTGCCCGTTCCTTGAATTGCTGTGCCATATTTCATTAAAGAGCGTAAATCATTAAGCCATGTGTAAACTCTGCACCTACAGTAGTTAGGCAACACAACATTACAGCCGGCACGTCTCGTCGTACAGACGCACCAAATCAATATATAGTTCCGCCCAGTTACTCTGATAAACATGTTGCCGCCACATTTTCTATTTGAAACAAATAGGTGCATGAGTAATGTGTACTTGGGTAATACATTAGGAGTGGAATATGCCACCTGGGCATAACACATATCCCCACCCTGCAGTCCAATGTACATAATTCAAATACACAGACGATTGGGTTGGGATCTGCCACGCCACTGTGTCAGTGCTACTATTGCAAATAATTCTGGTGGATGATTACTGGTTAGTGGTGCCGTTTTACTGTTAAATTGCATCTGGTGACACTATGTATGCTTCATCTTCAATGCAAGTGAACCCATGACCCAAGTAAAAAGTTCCAGTAACTAGTAGTGTAGGAGACAGAGCCCGGACAAACATTTTCTTTGATGCAGGTCAAAGGTCAAAAACAGAATGACCTACTTTGGTATACGACACACACTGCCTCACCAAGATGAACCCACACTCCAAGTATAAAGTTCCAGTGACAAGTAGTGTAGGAGATAGAGCCCGGACAAACATTCTGCTAATTACATCAGCTGAAATGCAATATTCTTTCACAGCCACACATTATATTTTGCCAAGCATAATATCTCTCCCAAGTTTCTCAAAAGTTTATCTTCTCTCATCAGAAGATGAGTGTCATCCTTTGAATCAAAAGATTGAGTGCTGGAATGTTCTTTTGACAAAAATGGCCAATGAAAAATGTATGTGATACTCAGAAAGTGTTTTTATTTTGGTACAACCCAAATGTGTTGAAATCTGAGACATTCCAATACAAAATATAGAAACTTACTGGAAAAATTCCATATTTTTTTCAAATAGTTTGTTCCTATTTACTTCCCACATATTCTGATGAATGACGTATGCCAGTAATTGAGTTATACAATCTTTTTGAATAGATCATGAAGCAGATAACGTGCCATTATATAAGTAACATGATAATATAATCCAGTATTCTTTAAGAATCAACAAGATATATTAAACTATTTAAAAGAATTTTACTTGAAGTTTAGCCCTCATTTGAACTTTGACCTTGCAGTAGAACTTAATGAGCAGAGATTACTGAAATTTCTACTTATTTGACCTTTGATCAACAAGTGCAGGACATGAAATAAAAAAAAAGTGCCCTACAGATCTTTGGGTGATGAAGATATATTTTATTAAGCTTCGTCTCAAGATTCATCAAAATATGTAAACAACAGTTAACAAGCAAATTTGTGGAATTCATATCCCTGCTTGCAGGACATATTGTAGGTAAACATTATTGAGGTTAGGTTTAAACATGTGAGGATCGTACTGTTGAGACATAATGTATAGCTTGAAGCTCGAAGAAAAAAACCCACCTTATCGTTATACCTCATTAATTATCCATAAATATGCACAAATCACATTGGCTGGCAAACTTAGCATGAGTCGGATGTGCATACGGAATTTGGTTGAAATAACCGCACAATATCTACAGCAATTATCACACGAAAACCAAAGAGTGCCCGAGATGGGTGGAAAGACAGAGGGACATAAACATTGTCGTCATCAAGTTTGAATGAATTTGGCTAATATTTGCTAGAGTTATTAAGCGGAAACTGCACATAATGACGTTTTACGTTAATCAAAGGACCATAACTCTGCTAAATGGAGTCTTATTAAAGTGGTTGTCTAACTCGGTCGAGCCCTTTATGCGTTGAACCCTGTTACCAAGTTTGAAGACAATCGGATAATATTTGCGAGAGTGATGAACAGAAACGGCAGATGACGTTTTTCGTTATTCAAGGGGCCATTACTCCCCTAAATAAAGTCTGCTGAGAGTGGTCATCGAAATTGGTCGAGCCCTTAAGGCATTTAACCCTGGTACCAAGTTTGAAGAAAACTGGTTAACATGTGTTGCAGTTATTGCACGGAAATGGCAGATAATGATGTTTTTCGTTATTCAAGGGGCCATAACTCCATTAAATAAAGTCTGCTGAAATTGGTCATCGAAGCGTGACAGACAGACAAACAGACTAACGAACCCAAATTAATATCCCCCATTTCGGTGAAAGCGGGGGATACAAATTTACAAGCCCAGACATTTTACTATAAAAAAGGGTTTGTACTTCGACTTTTGACCTAGAAATGAATGTCACCGTAACCTATATACTGTGCACTACACACCTTCTATTAGTGATGTAGGTTTCCTTCAGTATCTTCAAGTTTAGAAGTTATGGCCCAACCAGAACGATACTTTCTAGAACCAGAAAACCTGAACAAGAATCATCACTTATACAATTACCTCCCTTTCCTTCATAGAAGCGACACTATTATTTAGTTTTCTCACTACCGCTTAGGATGATTGCTATTCAATCACCATTGAAGTTTTATACTAGTTAAAGTCAATACAGCAGGTCATGCCAAATCACACCCTCAAAATACCAGGGATTAAGCTCTCTTGCTTTCTTTGTGTTCTCTGAATATATCATGACAAAATAGAAGGCTCTGTATGCGTTACCTTGCAAACTATACAAGTAGACTAGTTTAAGTGATGTTCTGATGTACATCAAATGAATAGCATGACAGCACAGTAACACTGACCAGCTTTGAAGCTTGGTGTTGATTCTCTGTAATCTTCAAATGATTGGTATCAGGTTAGTTTGCGGACCTGAATCCAATCAAATAGCTAACTGTGTGACTTTGAATTTGTCATATCATATTCCTTGGCTAAAGAGAAGGTAACTGAGCATAACCCCTTGGAATTTCGAGGATGTCACTACCTTGATACTTATGGTACTTGTAATATCTAATGGACTGACCTGTGCTGGAGTGTGCTTGCCCTGTGTGGCCTCCATAGTCTGAGGTGACTGACAGTTGCTGATGCTGGAAAGCTTCCTGCTGGGACTGCTTTAGCACATTTATCTCTTTCTGTTGAAAAATAAGACAAAACTGAAATTTCTGTGCTATACAAGTGAATATTTCTAGTTAAGTATTTCCTTGTCATTTGTGTACCCATGATATGTCCTTTTTTCCAAAAGCAACAGAAGAGTTGAAAAAGTTTCCTCTAAAGAATACTTCACATTGGATATAAAATTTCCACAGAAACAAATAATGGTTTTGAATCAAATTTCTACATAAAGACCCTTTCTCTTTAAAATGTTGGCTGGAAAAACCTCAAATACATATTCATGGAAAGTTAGTGACATCATAATGTAAAATGATGTCTCGTGTTTTGTGGTAGCACTCACGCAGACATGACCATATGGAAGTTTGCCAACCAACCATAGTCTCGCAGCTAAAGTGAAAGAGTCCAATATAACCCTATGAATGCAATTTCTTTAGCAGAGCTTCGGACACATTACCATGTAATTCATAGCCCTATGAATGCAATTTCTTCTGTACAATGACTTGTATCGGAATATGAAGTGAATTTAGCGAAAAAGTAATTGCCGAGATAAAAACAGATTTCGAAGACGAAATGAAGTATTATTTCATTCTGTGATTGCTTGCATCACTAGTAAATCAAAGTATTGTTGTGAGTGCCTCACCTCTTTCTCCTCCAGTACTCCTCTGTACTGTGCTGAGATACTGTTGATCTGAAGCTCCGAAGACTCAGCCTTCTCCTCAAGCTCATGGATGATCTGTTTAAATCGGGCACTCTGTCAATTGAGCAATTCAAAAGATTATGGTTCAGTTTTCAAAATCTGACATGGCAAGCTTTAAATAATTCCTCACTTCCTCTTTCCAGTATTTATTCTATCAATAAAAAATATGGCTGAAAAGGACCATGATTGAAACATTTTAAGCACAAATAACCCATTATCAGGATTTTTTAGAAACTCTTTTGTTGCATTATGATTTCTTTTACAAGAAAAATCTATTTGATGTTAACATGAATTTAAAAAGATTGCATTTTCAAATAAATATCTCACGATGTTTTATAGATTACTAACAAAGGAGTTTTAGTTTAGTCATCCAGGCCCAACGAGCCCCAGGTCTGAGTCCTACAATACCCTGTTGTAGCTGTACCAGTTTGTAGTGCTATGTAAATAGACATTTCATTGACTTTGTTTACCAATAAACATACGTCTGGTTATGAATACTCTCCAAACAAAGACTATGACATTCCCCCAGTCAAGAGAGCTACTCAAGGCTTTTAACCCTTCACACAGGCAGGAAACACTAGAGCAGGCAGATAGACAAGGCAGTTATTGGGAACCTTATCTAAACTGAATCAAGTAAAATAGAAACTTGTGTTGTGAGAACAAAAAAATCCACTTATTGACCATTATTTTCTTTTGTCATACTTATGTTTCATCAAGATATCTAAAAGGTTTAAAATTCAAAGCCTGGACAAGATATTTTTTTATTTTATTCACACGTAATTAACCTTTGACCTAAAGGTAAAGGTCACAGTTACCAAATTACGATGCACACACCAGTGAATGATGCAGGTATACTTCAAGTTGCATTAAAGAATATTGAATGGTATAAAAGTTATGGCCTGAACAAGACATTAAGAAAAGAACGTTTCAACTGCCCTTGGAAAAAATACACCAACTAGAACATACCGTAGTATGCCATGATAAAGGATACTCCAGACCAACAGAAAAAGACTATTTTTGTACTTCAGTCTTTCTCAATATACCAGGGACATCATCTAAGCCATCTGACAGGTTTTACAGTTTAACAGATCAGGTAATTTTAAATGTTGACTCTGTTGAGATGGCCACCAATAGAAACAGTCATGAAAATAACCTCAACAAACACCCTGTGACGCAATTCTCGTGAGCGCTGTACAAACACACGGTCAGCAGGACAGGAACTCATCCAACATTTATTTAGTCTCCACTTACCTCATTTTTCTGTGCTGTTATAACAGTCTGGCACTCTGTAATCTTTTCCTGGGCTATCCTCAGCTCTGTAGCATGATCTGTAAGGCAAACACGTAAAGTAGATAAATTTTGACAAGCACCTGCTAGGCCTACATCCCTTTATGGCATGCTCAGATAATAAATAGACTAAAATGATAAGTGGATCATGTGCCCAATTGTTCAAACACTTAATATCATGGAAATATTTCCGTTTACAATGTCCATCAATCATGCTAGCGCTGATGGCATACAACATACATATAAAATGCAATATAATTTCACTTTTACCGTGTCTTAATATCATCTGACAATTTGTTAAAGTTATCAGATTCAGTAGAAGTCTGCAAACCTACACCTTAGAGAACAATACAGCTACACTGCACATTATTACTCATAGCATTCAATTTGAAAAACTTAAAAACTATCATAATAGCTTTTTCTTTTTAAAGTCTAGGTCATAAAATTGATTGGTATATCAGCTTTCTATATCCTTCAGCCTGTAATTACGTTTACTTTCAAACATTTGAAAATGTAACTCAATGACGACTATTCAACACACCATTGTTAGAAAGTAAACAGACACCAACCGAGACATTCAATAAAACTAAATACACCTCAACAAGAGATCCAGCAATATCTTACCTCATTCTAATTTTGAAACCTGGAACCCTCGGCCACCAAACACATTATACAGGCGAAGTGTTTTTTTCACTTTCAATTAAAGTCAAATAATTCCAGTTCTTAAATAAAACTATTCATAACTATCTACAGCTCTGATCACTATAAAATCAAACTGCAAAACTTTTTTACAACTGTTGAAGTTCAAAAGTCTGTTGAGCCAATTTTGAAATCCAGCCGAGTCTGTGTCGCGTTACCTGCCCAACTGTCCTGAGCCTGAGATTCCAGGTAAACTGTGGCTTGTGCAAACAAGCAATATCAGCCAATATAGAGCCCTGAATTTTAGTCTCCACATAACATATGACAAGACCCTGGATAAATCTCATAATACCACGGTAACCAAGCCGCCCTCAACCAACCGGCGGCCGCAGAGTGGCTTATAGGTCAGATAAGGCGCAGACTGATAAGCTCAAATGCGGCCCTCAAAAGTAGGGACGTGCTATATAGGCATGATTCATTCACAGTGGGATTGTTTTATCAATATTATATTATTTATTCTTGACCAATCGTTACGCAGCATGATGTAATGAAGAGCCAATTAATAGCTAGAGCTAACAATCTGAACATGAAAAGTAAGCATGTGGTCTCAACAGTTGTCCCAGTTAATAAAATTTGTTCAAATACAGGACAAATCGAAAATGAATACACCCAACCCGACTATACTGATCTAGTACAAAGGGCGTGTCCCAATATCAATATATACCTTATGACTTTTGATAGACCGAATGATACATACGATACATAGTGAATATGATGTACGTGTCAGCTTCTTTCTGTTCAACGAAACATCTTGTGACATAATCTTTGATTACTCATTTTGTACACAATGTTAACGGTTCTTTACATAGTGGAGATATTCCATACTGTGTAAACCTTCTTATATTTAATTAACAAACCTCTGACAATCAAACAGTCCCAACAGTTTTACACAAAAGGACAACTTCCTCTCCAAGGTCATAATATAGGACTTCAGAAACTCAAAAACCAATTACTGCACCATTAAGTTAATGTTTGGAGGAAAACTTAAGACAACAAATACAATAGAATGTTTTCATTCAATATATTCTGTACCAGGTGCACAGACATCAGTCATATATAATGTATTTTGATTTCTGGTTGCCAGCGATTTGACCCAACCCAGTTCTGCTATATTCCTTCCTCCTTTAACAAAGTCTTCGACCCTTAAGACACACAAGACTCTATACCACCTTTTGTGGGTATATTTCATTGTGCGCCAAAGTAACTGAAGAAAGAGAAATGCACGGCCATCGGGGGCTCGAACCTTGGACCCTCCGAACTCCAGACTGATGCTCTACCAATGCAATTGAGCTATCTGGTCGGCAGCGTTCAACCCAGTCCAGTTCCACTACATAAGTAAACTTATGGCCCTAGTCAAGCAGCATAGTGCTAGAATGTATAATACTTCATATTATAACAATCTCTACTCAAAGTTGTCGTTCTTTACACTCACATACACCAATGGACATCAAAGAGCTAGTAAATGTCAATAAGACATGATTGCCCTTGCTTCCATCATTTTTTAAATTTCTGTGAATAGAAACAATGGCTTTATGGCCTAAATGCAAATTCATTCGAGGTATTCTCATATCTGTACTAGACATTTGTACAAATTTTTATCAAACTAATTAATATAGGAAGCTACTTGAATGATTGGCACTAAATTAATTGACACATTTCTTTAAATAGAAAGGGTGACCTTGCCCTTGACTTTAATTTAGAACATCCTCGTTCTCGACATATGTATTAAGTTTGATTCAAATCTGTTCATAAAAAAAATTCTGTGGAATAACTTATGACAATGACACCAGTCTTTCTAAGGTATGCTGGGACATGTTCCTACTCATATGGCTGAAGAGACTGATTTGCATAAAATACTCCGTCCAATGATAAAAAAACCCACCATGTGGTAAGCATTCATCAAGAATGTAGCAGAGCTGGATCAGATGATTGTACTGCAGAGCCTTATATTGCCCCTACTTCAGGAAAGTTTTACTTGAGAAGTGAAAATCTCTTTCAATTCCTTGGATTGGTTCAGTATTTTTTATTTTTTATTTGGAGAATATACCAATGCTGTTTAATCACATTGGTGTGTCATCATCCAAGAAGGGGAAGGGGTATACCTATGCTGGGGAAATAGTAGCATCAACTATCAAATACATCTACGTTATCATACGACCTTAACTTTTGGAGAATGCAAAAAATGCTTTTTCTATTACATGAATTGTCAAAACAGTAGAAAGTAAAGTGGGAAATTCTGCTAATACCTAGTAAAACATGTTTGACCTTCATGACCTTGACTTTACATGTCTTTGCCCTTTCAGATTTACATTTCAAGTTACAGGGAACATTCCTGGGTGAGTAACAAGTTCTATCATACTTTGGTTATATCACAAAGATGGCCTGGTAGTGCTAAAAACCCTTTTCCAACATGACTGATGTTAAGCTGACAGCATAAGCTAATACAGACAAGTCTGAAACGAAAGGGACCGATCGTTACAACCAAATTGAAAACGAGACAAGTTGATTGACTACCGAAGTATCTGGACCCAATAAAACCAGGATGTATATACAACAGTGTAATCCCTGTGGACAGGGGTAACACCCAGTATGACTGTCAAAACCGGAATGTTCACAAAAGTCTGTGGATATACCTCAGGAATACCACACTGCACAAAACAAAGACAAGAGAATTTCCATAATCTGTGACGAAGCAAAATTTTAGGCAAAAAAGACATCACTGAACTGACACACCTTGAATCCAGAAGAAAATCTAGGAATACATGAGGAATATTAGATTGCATAACATACAGACAGGACAGATTACCATAATCCGTGACAAAGCCAAACTTAAAGCCAAATTAAAGATTTCGGGAAAATGTCAAACCTTGAATGAAGAATAAGGCATTGCCAGTGATACCAATCCCATGACATTTGGTTAAAGATTGTGTATGGTAACAGTGCTTTGATTGGTCTCCCACTGGCAATGTAATACTCTGATAATTAACATAATGATGTCAGTACATTATCTCCATGAAAAGTCAGCCATATGCATATGCCAAACCAGAAAACAACTGTAATATTGGACAAGGAAAATTACATAAATCTAATAGATTTATAAATGAGTAAGTAATACACCTACATGTATTCCAATGTTAAAATTGAGTTAGAAGTGTAAAGATGATGATATAACTATGGTTTTGTTAAAAAAATATTACTGCAGAATATTTCCATAATATCAAAATAAATCGTAAAAGGACATCTTACTTAACAAATCAATGAAGTTTGATAAAAAAAAAAATCAGAGATGAAGTGAATGAGAATGATGAAAAAAAATCTTTAAATAGTAATGGTGACCTTGACCTTGATAACCCGAAACACCAACTTGTTCCAGATAATGTCATACTTGACCAATTTATGAAGTTTGATAAAGATCCTCTCAGAAATGAATCCACTAGAGCAATGACGAAGTGCAAAAATATCAGTACCTCAAAACAAATGGAATGCTTTATCCCCTTTCCAAAACTTGTTATAATAAAAAGGTGAGATTATAACATATATGCATAACTATGTCTGATAAACAGATTTTCTGGTAAATAGGTAACTGTCAGTTTGTTATATGTGACCTATCTACTTGTATAACTGTTTTTTTGTATAGGAAAGAGATTTCTTTTTGGTTGGCAGACTCAGTGGTAATTGCCAAAAATAGTTGATTCATGTAACATATATCTTGTCAAATGAAAATATTCCAATAAATTCAAGACAGGTTGTGATAATGCATGTTTAGGTAAAATTAATGACTGTCCTCTGACATAGTATGCAATCATGTGAATACATGTACGACCCAGTCTCAATGTAAAATCCTGGCTGTGCTCCCATATCAAGCATTTGAATGGTTTGTGTCTCCAGAATAACCAACTATGATCAATACCCTTTGAACAAGTATGTGCATGCCTTTGTGACTTTGTGTCTTTAGGTAAAACAATAAATGTCCTTTGACCAAGCATGTACATGCTTTGGTGTCTTTAGTTAAAACAATCAATGTCATTTGACCAAGCATGTGCATATGCCTTTGTGTCTTTAGTTAAATCAGTCAATGTCCGTTGACCAAGCATGTGCATGCCTTTGTGTCTTTAGTTAAAACTCTCAATGTCCTTTGACCAAGCATGTGCATGCCTTTGTGTCTTTAGTTAAAACAGTCAATGTCCGTTGACCAAGCATGTGCATGCCTTTGTGACTTCTTGTCTTTAGGTAAATTATTTAATGTCCTTTGACAAAGCATGTGCATGCCTCTGTGTCTTAAGGTCAACCAATCAAAGTCCTATGACCAATTCAACCAAATGCACACTTTAATGTGTCCAAAAGATAAACCAATATATTTTGTGTCTCAAGAGTAAAACCAAGCATACACAACTGATCCATTAGTTCCAGCAGGTACACCCATTGGTGTCTCCAGGTAAAACTAAATGATAAGACCTGTCCAAACATGAGAACACCTTTTGTGTCTGAAGGTAAAATCAATAAATATGCACTGATCAAACAAGGAAGTTTATAAAACTTTCAAGATCAATGACGTAATCTACCGCACCCCTTCACAAAACTGCAAAGTTGACAAGTAATAGAAGGAAACATCACAATTCACAAAACATTTTTTCACGTATGAAAATATTTCCGTATTTAAATTAATATGTGAAATGAGATATTGGACCAGCAAGAAGTGAAAGTGGATGTATTTTCTTTGAACAGCGGTAATAATAGGGTAGAAGTAGTTATGGAGACAAACTCTAGCCTAGCAAATGATAAATGCGTCCCAGCACACATAGGGCGTGGGGGTACCATAATTCCTAGGTTGACAGGCTTAACCAGCCGCTTCCTCTGATAAGCCGACACAGTATGCTATACAAACTTCCAACTTTGTGAAGTCCTATAAAGTGACTTTTTCAAGTAGATAAGCAAAAATAACATATCGATTAATAATATAAACATACATTAAACTTAATCATAAACTTATCACAGAGACAACACATTAAACGTATAAAAGTTTAACTTTGAGAGCAATTTTGTGGTTTCCATTTGTCCTCAGGTAAACAATTTATAATTACCAGGTATATACCTGGTACCTGTTCAATGGAGGAATGACATTTGTAAAGTACAGTTAGAGTGACATATTGTTTACTACAATTTAACAGAAGATTTTTATCTCATATCATGTTACATCATGTTCTTTAATAATTTACCACAGTAAACTTTATTACAATGCCACTTGTGCGATTAATTTTTGGTGTTATCAGGGAATTTGGTGATACAGTGACAGTATATCGTAGAAGACATATATAAAGGATCTTGAAATATGTTAACAGTGAATTTTAAATGTGGTGGCAAATAAAACAATGTTACTGTGAAGCGGTACATAATATGGCCGTAACACATTGAATGAGTAGTTGTTTGTATTGTTGAAATATACAAAATATTTGTGAGAAAATGATGTTAAAGGAGAAATAATTCATCCTACCTGGTTATAGATCAATGAGTGCAATAAAACATCACCGAATACATGTACTGGTAGTATTGCATTAATGAAACCCAAGGGAGCAAGTCTATTAATAGTGGTCAGATAATTGTGATTACATTCACTCCCACTGATTCAGGGGGCATAACTCTGTTAACTACAGTCATTATCCAATTTGTCTTATAGCTTTCAGGGTAATTAACTTTCCTATGAGGTTTGAACTCAATCCATTGAAAATTAACTACAGATACCAAGCGAACACTAATTCAGAAATTGAAAAGGGTATAACTCCATAAATAACAGTCAGACGATGGTGGTTGTCAAACTTTCATTGGAATTAGTTTTCCCTTGAAGTTTGAAGTCAAACCGTTGAAAACTACTCAAGAGATCAAGCTGACACCGTTTCAGCAATTGATTAAAGGGGTGTTTCTCAGTTTAATTACAGTCGGAAAATAGTGGTTATCAAACTTGTCCAATCTCTCATGGTAATGAACTTTCCAATGAAGTTTGAAGCTAATCTGTTGAAAATTACTTGAGATATCCAGCGGACATTGTGCTGTCCTGCCTGCATGATAACATAATACGTCATATATCAAGGTTTACTATATTGATATACTGTTAACGATAAAACCATTTTTAGTTTTCACAGAAAACCACTATAAATATAAGTCTTAAATTTTCTACCAAAGATGGAATCCTATCCAGTTTCTAATAAATGGTTAAAAAAAAATGGGGAAAATAGCTGAATGAAAACATTTAGAAATGACAACCAACAACAAAAGTTGTATTACCAGCTACATGAACATATACCTGTAGTTAGTTATATACAGTACTTACACCAGGTAATTTATTCTAGCAGTATATTTAGAAATTATATACACAGAACATACAATAAACTTGTGAGAAGGATTAAAATATGACTTGTATGATTCCCAATTTATTATCTTTTATTAATAAATTATGATGGAAACAAAAACGTATTGACGTAATAGCAGCCTTTAGCATACATACAGTGTATGTACAGGTATCATATGTAAATAGCCTAGTGATAAAAATAAATACCAGTACTGTGGGTGGTAAATGTGCATTTTAAATATGCTTCTTCATAAACGTACATTCTCAAAGTAAGTGCCTAACACGACTAGAAGAAAATCAAGAAATTGCATTCATAGGGCAATGAAAGCAAACAGATTTCCACTTACCTACCTGTTAATAATGTGGAAAAAAATGTAAGAAGACAATATTTAGGTGACATTAGGCTGTTTCAGGAGTATCTTTGCCAATATCAATACTTCAATACTGCAAATACTATGAATTTCTTGATTAGATCAACAATAACTATAAATTTAGGATTTAAAAATAAACATATTCAACAATCAAGCATTTATACACTGTACCAGGATGCTATACCTTCACTCTGCTTTGACCTGAAGATAATGTGATTCTACAATGTTTCCTGTAACCTTTATCTGCAGTACAGTAAAACCTTGTTATACTGTTTAATCATGGCATTATAAAGGAGTTTGGTGATTAAGTATGAGTTATATGCTGAACACAAACCAATTTCGACATTAAATATGCAATAATTCAAAAATTGTATTCAAGGCAAGCATTGCAACAATTTGACCTTTAAATCATGCATATTAAGACAAGTACAGATGTATTATATGTATCTTGTAACTATGTAGGATTCATCATAACCAAACTAGGCGAAGGATTGTCATATATAAAGATCCCCTTTTGGGACACACTTTGGTATAAAAGTACAAAAGGGCTATAACTCTGTATATAATCAAAATGTGACAGTCAGACACATGCACCAGTCCCTGCCATTCCAAAAAGGTAATCACATAAAAATTGGGGCCAATACCAATCAAATAGCTATCTGCATACCTTTGATTTTTTCATGACATATTCCAAGGGTGCAGAAAAAGTTAGAAAGCATAACCCTTGGAGTTTTGAGGATGATAGGTATATAGTAATGAAACAGAAAAGTATTGCTGTGAATTGATCTTTTTACTTTTGCTGTCAACTGCTCCCCTGGCTCTTGCAGGCCATGTATCTAAATTTATCATTATCAGGATGAATTTCAATTTCCCATGTATAACTGATACACAATACATCTCCAGCACACACGCAGGCATACACACATAGGGAGATATTAGCCAGGTGGCATAGGACTAGTAGTCAGCGCCTGATAAGGCAGCTCCTGCTCATTCCTCACAAATTGTATATCCTAATTGTATTAATTGTATATCTATGTACTGTAAAGCGCTTTAGAGTGGCTTATGTTAGCTAGATAGGGCGCTATATCAAATGTTGTATATTATTATTATTATTTATTATAACTCTATATATTATAAACCTGGAGAAAACTCATGTGGTCGGGCAGGTGACCCCATACGTTTTCAAGTCCAATCAGGTAATTAACAAATCCTGGCAGCCTTGGTGGTTTTTTTATAGTACATTTTTATTTGTATAAGGGGTATTTTTTTTTATCACATAATGTACTATGTTATCCAGTGAATATACTCATGCCTATTTGTTTGCGTATTAACCCATGTCATATGACCTATCAGCCCTGTGATTGGTTATAAGTTTCAATTGTTTCAATTGAGACATCACGCCTAGGACAAGTACATAACGTCACAGACTTTTTTACATTTCAAGGTTGCATTAAAAATTGTCGTTTTACATAAATAAATGCAACAAATCTTGATTACGTAATGAAAAGGATCTTACACCGACTCGTTTTTCATTTCATATGAAAGTTAAGAAACCTGTCACAAATTTTTCATTTTCTTAAGACTCGTTTCATAAATCTCATATGAAATGGAAACTCATGTAAATTCCTTTATATATATATACAGATTGTTACTGTTAAACATCAGACTCCTGTGACAGTACACTATCCAAAACGTTTATTAAAATACTCCCAACTAAAAGTTAAAACTTTAATAAAATCTAAAACAGTTTTACTTTTCAATATTCATCAGACCATGTGTACACTTATAAGCAAAGGGTACATATATAATGGCAGTCGGGTGTCAAATACACTTGTTTGGGTCGAGTTGACTTATAAACGTATCGGCAGCCGATTGTTGACATCCATGCTACAGAGTCAGCACCATGTCGTGAGCTGTCATCTCATTTTAAATTTATGAATGAAATGCCATCATGTACATTTTGCATTATAACTACGTACTATATATAACAGATAAACCGTACCACTTATTTCTTCTGTACCCTCTGTCAAAATATCTTTGGTCAAGTTGGACAGCTGACCCGTCAGGTTCGATAGACTTCCGCCTATCCATGACATTCTCGGTTTTGCTACGTGAAAATGAAAGGCCAACGGACCATTATATGTGTTCTACTTATCTATATGCTAAGGTTGAGATAATATATACTGTCATGACGACAAAGTTGATCCGAACCAACGATGTGCCAACACGACGGTCGCCATCTTCTTTTCGGAACAGGAAGTCATGCACGAGCATGCTGGGAGTCACACACGTCGTCTGCTACACGTGCTAGGCCTATTTTAGTCATGAAAAAAAACAGTGGGCAGTAGGTTTTATTTATATATTTTAGAGGATCTTTTGTCAGATAGGTACGATCCTAAATAGTGCAGTTTTCTTCCCTTTTCATGGAAGTAATGTCCCTTTTGCTTCACAACTCCTCCCACAGTCTTAGTATATAGTATCAGAACGAAATCGAGATAAGTTCGCCTGCCTCTTCATGCAGTTTTATCCCCATTTTAGCCTATTTGGCCTTTTAAGTTAAGTATTCATCATCATCATCATCATCTTCCATTAAGTGACAGATCTCCTTGATGGAGCGCAATTGTCACTGTGAGAGGTTCCTAGAGGTGGCAGTTAAAAACTTATTTTTTATGGTATTTTCGTATTTAATAAAACTATTTACAACAAGTATACATGAAGTTAGTATAGAGGAAAGTGTATTAAAAACTTATTGAATCAACTTCTGCAACAATTCTATTATTAGCCTGATTTACTTCAAGATTAATACACGGTATCAGTACGAAATTTTACCTGCCTTTTACATGCAGTTTTGTCCCCTTTTCAAGGAGTTATGCCCCTTTTACTTGTTCAGTTAAGAAAGACGATTTTTTCCATAGTTTTACTTCAACTACGATATACACTGTACTCAGTGGGCCCCTTTCGCGTATCCCGGCGTTTCACCCGGTTTGTCTGTTTTTAAATGTATGATTTTCGGGCATAAATCTCAAAAATACGAACAGCCAGTCCAACCGTTTGGATCGAGACAAACGAACACGGTCCTGGTAAAAGTGTAAATCGTGCTTCTTTATTAAGTTTTCTCCCTTTTCATTGAGTTATGCCCCTTTATTTTTTTTCAATAAAGGAATGGTTTACGGTATTATCATGACATGAGGACGGACATATGTCTTTACCGTTCCACCTTCTCCTTTTTTCATGGAGTTATGCCAATGTTGTGTTTTGCCCGTAAGTGACAGGGCAATGGTAGGGTCAAATCCTATGATGTGCAACATATTCCAACTGTTGTTTTGATACCAAATATTACTTAAAACATGCGTGATATAATTAAGTGTTTTGGTATGATACAAAAACAGAAAATGTATTGGTAGTATTATTACTATAATAAACATTGATAATCAAATCTCCATGATTATGTCAAATTTGGCATTGATCATGTTTGGCATGGTAAAAAAGTACTTAACCGGTTTTGATATAACATAAAACTGATTCTGTAGACAGAATATATATATGGAAAGTTTTTAAAGAAGTTAAAAATATAGACTACCATTGTAACTATATAGCCAAGTTGACTCAATGTCTGCTATATTTTAAATTTTGTGAAAATTTGGCATGCTTTTCTAATTAAAAGTATCACAAGGCTTACTTCATGTATACATGACAGATTTAGTATCAAAATAACAGTAATTCTATACACTGTACACTGTCATAATTCATTTTTTTAAATAACATTCGCCTGTGACATTTATCTACCATTTTGTTAGGTATACAGGGAGGTCCATTACGGTTATCAGTAGTTATAATGAATAGTAATTTATGAAGTTATTGTTCAATTTTATATATCTACATATGGCGAATTTTTTTTGAAAGAAATGAAAGTAGGGGCCGAATGTTGACCCCATCTTTAAAAGAGTAAGCTTCATTTTGAAGATACATTGTCTGTAAATCCAGATGCTTTGAATGGTCAAATTAACACCAAGCAAATATATTTTCTGTTTCCGAGAAGCAAAAATAACCAAGGTATACAGAAACCTTTATTTGACTGTTTTCTTTAGCATAGTAATTGAGAAGATTAAAACATAAAAGATGTATAAAGAAAAATGGTGAATATTTATCTTGCAGTATGCCATCCTAATATTTTCTTTTCCAATATTATATTTCATTATATTACATTGCCACTGTATATCTATCTTAATTACTCTCTAGACAGTCTTATCGAGTTTAGTCGGGTACTGCTGTTACTCGTGCAATGATAAGGTACCAATATGTAGGTCAAGTTCAACGTTTCAAAATAAAAATCAACTCTTTCGGTTGTTTGTATTTTATAGAGATTGGAGAGCTGAATTTGATGTCCTTTTTGTTCTCACAACTTCAATGGTCAACATCACAGATGATTTTCAAAAGCTGAATGTCACAGATAATTTCAATGTTTCCTTTGGTTTTCAAAAAAAACACCTCTACCTCCATTTGGTATCGGACGACCATGCCTATCCAGAACGTTTGTACTGGTTGCATACAGTCACTATGCCTCAGTTATGTTTAGAACATTTGTATAGCGGGGTAATACAGCGATAATAGTCCACCAGTCTTCAAATATCATGACCAAACATGGCGATCATGGTATCGGCATGAAAAAGGTTACCAAAGCGCTTATTGAACATTAGTTTTGGACAACGTGTTTTTGGTACAATGATTACAATGACGGATGAAGTCGAAAATGTATCGATTTCGTCGACCACTATTGCAACCCTTCGAATAGTCGCAACCGTGGTTGCACCTGCTTCCACAGGTGAACCGGGTTATACTAGTTGGCGGGTTACACTAGTTGGCGGGGTTACAATAGTGGGTTTACACTGTCTATACCGCTGCTGTACTCAGTATTTCGGTGTCTAGCGGTGAGTGTTTTATCATAAATCTACCACAACGTCTGAGACGATGATAATTAAATGTTGCTGTTGTTGTTGGATTCCAACTTAATAATTGTGCTTTGTTCTTGGACTTTCTTTAACTTGCCATTTAGGTCTGGCTGCCATTTTGGATTTTCTGCGCGGAAAATCTTGCTTTTTTTTGACTCAACAGGTTTGTATATTGTAGTTATCTACTCTTCACCAACCATCCTAAAATGACTTCGGAATTAGAGTCGTCTGTTTGGTTTGAATAATGAATGCTCTCTTTGCTTGATACAAGAAACAGACGTTTTAGAAACCTTGCAAAAATGCTCTTTGCTTGATGAAGGAAACAGACGTTTTACAAAGCTCGCACGTTTGTTTTAATTGAACGTTTGAGCGGAACCTGAATCTCTGACGTCAACTGACGTGGCGCTCAGTAGTACGTTTAGTGTTTCTTTTATTCCTAGTTGGTGAGTTTCCGTGACGTCTAGAACGTAGAATAGAGCTGGCACTATATAAACTGTTCTGGATTTTACCAGTTATAGATCAGCCTTCACAAGGCTTGTAGCTGGACTATTGACAGTATGCAAGCAACGTTTATCATCTAACCATCCTAGAGGGAAACCCCCAACCCCGAAAAATATTGAATAAAAACCTTAATTGTAGTGCTACCTGGTGGCTTTGAGAGCAGTATATTTGAAAGCATTCTTCCACATTTTTTGTTTTATAAATGTTTACTGTACAGACAATAACTATTTTGGACCACATACAATAGATACAAATTAAATAGTTATTTGATAATTTTGTTAATGTGTTTGCAACTGCTTATATGCTTACATGGAAGCTACTCGCCTGATAACAGCATACATCTGAAGTTCTTTCAGCATCAGGAAAAGCCCGCATTCTCAAGGTATGGTCTGTCCTGTTTCAATATTAATTTATACCAGTTTGAATTTCCAACTACTTTTTTGGCCATCAACATCTCCGATGAGTCCTAAAAGGACGAAAAATCTGTATGTTGTCATGTCATTCATTTTCGGAATACAGGGTTTCTATTACCAAATGGTATAGGTGTATTCACGTGTATGTACTACGTTCATTTTTCATTGATATATGGTGATTCATTGATATATGGTAATTATATGGCGATTCATTGATATATGGTGATTCATTGATATATGATTGATATATGGTGATTCATTGATATATGGTCATTGGTATATGATTGATATATTGTCATTGATATATGGTGATTCATTGATATATGATTGATATATGGTGATTCATTGATATATGGTCATTGATATATGATTGATATATGGTCATTGATATATGACGATTCATTGATGTATGGTGATTCATTGATATATGGTGATTTTCAATCATTGATTTGAATCCAAAACCTTGGATGTACGTTAAAAATCAAATTCAATGATGAACGCTTCGAAGCAAAATTTGGCTCCCGTTTTCATTATTATTCTTTGGCACTTAACGTAGAGAGTGCCAGCTATTTACTGTAAATGCAAGTTACAATTTGATAGAGGTATTTTTGACTTGCTCATTTATTTACTATACGAAAACAATTTTGTCACGAAGATTTGCACTTTAATGCAGAGTCTTTAGAACATGTACTAAAAGTACAATGTATTCCGAACTACGTGTGTTACATATAGAAAAAGTGTTCATGAAACTAGTTTCAGAACAGTATGAAATAGAGGGAAGCCAAATAAGACGATAATGCCTTGGGTTCATCGATTTTCGGAATCTCGAAAATTTCTTGATTTATTTTACTACATGTTGCAACTGGTGATTACCTGACTGACAACTACACACCACTTATGGGCTATAAAGGGCGAGAAAAAAGCACGAACGGATGTGAAGGTTCCTTTTACCTAAGATAAATGTAACATTCTCTTTCAGTAACCAGAGACAAGACACGTACCATTCTGCAGTAACATAAGGCAATATTTATTCATCTGCAGTCACCCACCCCTGCAGGTCGGGAATTGAGAAAGAATACACTTGCTGTATCGTAAGAGGCGACTAATGCGGGAGGTGCCTGCAAGATAGGATTTACGTTTGTGCCCTTTACTTTAAAACACAAAAACGACCAAAATAAATCTGCTGCACCGAATGGAGTATTTAGGGTCTTCTTGTTTATCCATACTTTTTACTAACTTTTGCTTCCTAGCGCCTTGCTTGGCAATACCTAACGTTTGGCGTTAATGTTGAACGTTCAATGGGTTCTGTCCTCATGTCGGGACATACTAAAGTCCATAAAAGGTAGTTCTTATTTCCTGCTTAACGTTCAGCATTAAGTGTAATG